GAGGGTGTCAATGGAGGGGGACTGGTTGGGCCTGCAGAACAGGAAGAAGCGGAGGGCCTTTAGGCCATCTGCATGGGGAATGCAGGTGTAGAGGGACTGGACGTCCATGGTAAAGATGAGGTGTTGGGGACCAGGGAATTGGAAGTTCTGGAGGAGGTGGAGGGCGTGGGTGGTGTCACGGACATAGGTAGGGAGTTCCTGGACCAAGGGGGAGAAAATGGAGTCCAGATAGTTGGAGATCAGTTCGGTGGGGCAGGAGCAGGCGGAGACAATGGGTCGACCAGGGCATTCAGGTTTGTGGATTTTGGGAAGGAGACAGAAGTGGGCAGTGCGGGGTTGGGGAACGATGAGGTTGGAGGCCGTGGGTGGGAGGTCACCTGAGGTGATGAGGTTGTGGATGGTTTGGGAGATGATGGCTTGGTGCTCAGGGGTGGGGTCATGATCAAGGGGGCGGTAGGAGGAGGTGTTGGAGAGTTAGCGTCTGGCCTCGGCGCTGTAGAGGTCAGTGCGCCATACTACAACAGCACCTCCCTTGTCCGCGCGTTTTATGGTGAGGTTGGGATTGGAGTGGAGGGAGCGGAGGGCTGCACGTTCTGCGGGGGAGAGGTTGGAGCGGGTGAGAGGGGTGGAGAGGTTGAGGCGATTGATGTCTCTACGGCAGTTAGAGATGAAGAGGTCGAGGGAGGGTAGAAGGCCTTGGGGTGGTGTCCAGGAGGAGGGGGTGTGTTGGAAGTGGGAGAATGGGTCAGTAGAGGGAGGGTTAGGTTCACGGTTGAAGAAGTAAGCGTAGAGGCGCAGGTGGCAGAAAAACTGCTCTATGTCCAAGCGTGAGCGGTATTTGTTGATCTGTGGGTGGAGGGGGACAAAGGTGAGCCCTTTGCTGAGGACTGACCGTTCGTCCTCAGTAAGGGGGAGGTCTGGGGGGATGGTGAAGACTTGGCAGGGCTGGGTGCTATTGTCCCCTCTGGAGCTGCTGGCTGTGGAGGCTGTGGGCGGAGCGACGTTGGCGTTGGCTGTGGGCGGAGCGACGTCGGCGTCGGCTGTGGGCGGAGTTGTGTCGGCGTCAGCTGTGGGCGGAGTTGCGTCGGTGTCGGCGGTGGGCGGAGTTGCGTCGGCGGTGGGCGGAGTTGCATCGGCTTCAGCGGTGGGCGGAGTGGCCCCGGCGGTGGGCGGAGTTGCGTCCGCGTCGGTGATGGGCGGAGCGGCGTTGGCGGTGGGGGGACCGGGGTAGGCGGCGGCAGTAGCGGTGACGGTAGTCGCGACTTCAGTGTCGGTGGTGTTGGTCTCGGAAATGGAGGCGGTGGCAACAGCAGCGATGGTGTTTGCTGTCCCGGAAGTGGGGAACCCGGCGGTGGCGGATGTGACATCATCTGTGGGTTCTCCAATAGTGGCCTCATGGCCAATGGCGGCGGGCACATTGTGGGGAAGGTCCTGGGTATGGCTGGGGATTTGGGGAGTGGAGGAAGCCTGTTTTGGGTGGTAGGCACCAGTAAGTTTACTGTACTTACGGTTTTTAGTGTCCGATAAAGCTGAGTAGAATTGTGAGTTCAGGTTGTGAATCCTACAAAGAATGAAAAACAGGAGAGGTCCTTTGCAGGTCTGGGAGAGGGAGGCTCTGAGCTGGGGTAGGCTTGATTGTAGTGCCTGGAGATGCCGGCGCATTGCTGCAAGTGTGTGTTTCAGGAGTCGCAGGGAGAAACGCTTCTGAAGGATCTCAATGCCATGAGTGTAGATATTGTAGATATTGTTTCCATTGCCTGTTTGTCACACCCAGATGATATCTCAACAAATAAAGTAAAATTCCCCACAGACACTTTACAGCAGATAGAGGCAGTTTGAGGAAGATGTTTTGAAGTGGCTTGTGTTTGGGCTCCACTGTCATTTAGTCTCTTCCAACCAGGTACTGATTAAAATGTTTACAACAAAGACAATAGCCACACACTCTTCCTCAAATTTGAGCGTAGTGTCATTTAGTTCACATTAACACCATGGATATAAATGTAACTGATTTTCCTTGCTGTATTAAAAATTGGTCCAAGTCCTGTATTTCTGGCATCATACAGCAAGATCTCTTCACCATCAACATCATAGTAGTTTAGCACTGGAGCTGTCATCACGAGTTTTTTGATTCTAGAGAAAGCTGCTTTTTGTTGGTCCCACTTCCACTGCACATCCTTTGCAATGATCTTACATAGAAGTTCACACTCTGGTAACAAATTATGCGTGAACTTTGTTAGACAGTTCTTAAATCCAACAAAATTGCTTTCACATCTGTTGATCATTGCACCTCTGCTACAACTTTCAACTTGTCAGCATCCAGGTGAAATTTTTCTGCTGTCAATACACGATCTATGTACTTCAACTGCATCTTTTCTCGCTTAGCTTCAGGTTCATCTGGCAAGCTGTCTCTAGGATTTGCACTAGATTCTGATTGTGGTCTGCAGTGGTTTCTTCCATTATGTCTCCATAGACATGGACAAGCAGATCATCCACAATATCTTCCACTTCAGGAAGATCATTGTTTGTCTTGTACTGTTTCCATTGATACACTTCTGGAGCAGTGAAAATGCTAAAAAGCATTAAGATACTGTATCTATATCTCCTAAATGTCATTAAAAGTGTATTTAGAAAACTGCTGCTTTCATCCTTTAGAGGTTTAACATAATTTATTCAGTGGTCAGTGGGGTAGTGAGATCTCTTTGAAGCTTTGAGATCATTTGGATCTATCCATTCTCAGTTTTCCAGGTTCTTTCACTGCTATTATACTACTGATTCAGTCTGTAGAAATCATCACTTTATTGATTACTCCCTTCTTCTCTGACCATGTCTTGTCTTTCAGGGTGGACGTGAGGGGCTCTGGAGCACTCTTCAGCAGATGCTGGGTTGCTCTCACACTCTCATCCACTTAGAGGTGTTATCTTTGTAATTCTTTGGGTTCTGTTCAATTTGCAATGGCTTATTGACTTGAGAAATGCTGCAAATATCTCCGGACCTGTTTAGGGTTACTAGTCCAAGCTCTAGACGTGCTTCAGTTGGGATGAATTGATTTTGCTTAATGCCTACTATCTGAAACTCCAGATCTTCTTTCTTTCCAAAGCAAAGCTGTTTGCGAGTAAATTGATTCAGCTTCTTCAAATTAGAGGAGTGCATTCCCTATGTTGGGCAAGCTTTGTTTCTTTTTGCCTGGTATCTCCACCATATTTATATCTTGGCCATTTGTCTTGGCCTTCTGCTTACTTTTCTGCAAATATTTTTTCGTTTTTTCCAACATGTTGTACTGTCTCTCAGTATGATGCAAAGCTTCATCTGTTCTCCCATTAATAGACTGTAGCTAATGATTATGTCCATAGCTTTCTTCAGAACACATTTCTTGCCTCTCAGCAGATCTCTTATATCTAAGTCAATCCCATCTCTAAAGAGGAACAAAAACAAAGTTGCTGGAAAAGCTCAGCAGGTCTGGCAGCATCTGTGGAGGAGAAAACAGAGTTAACGTTTCAGGTCCGGTGACCCTTCCTCAGAACTTCCCCATCTCTAAAGAGATCATTTTTCAGTTGTCCAAAGTGTCAGGATTCAGCTAGATGTATCAGTGTTACTGTATACTATAATGATCAATGGTTTTCCTCTGTCCCCGAGCTCTGATGTCGAGCACATACCATTTATAAGTAACATTAATTGAGGTGTCTTCAACACCTTCAAAATTTCTGCAGCCTGACTTTTCTGCATCTCAGTGACATCTAGACTGTGATACAGCTTGGAGTACTTTTCTCCCCTCTAATTGCATGGTTGACGCTCTTATTTGTGCGAAGTTTTGAAAATCAATGCTGTCACAATGTCATTTTTTGTCACTGAGCATGAAAAACATTCACAATTTGTCTCAGAGTTATCTGAAGAAGGGTCTAGGCCCGAAACGTCAGCTTTCCTGCTCCTCTCATGCTGCTTGGCCTGCTGTGTTCATCCAGCTCTACAATTTGTCTCAGTTCTCCTTTCATTTCCACAGCAGCAGGGAATGGAAAAACCTATAGCTATTTTGACTCAACCAGCAATTCCAGGTTGCAATAGTATAAAAACAAAGTACTGTGGATGATGCTGATCTAAATTAAAAACAGAAATTGCTGGAGAAACTCAACAGGTCTGGAAGCAGCTGTGGACAGAGAAACCGTTAAATGCTTTGAGTATGATATGACTCTTGTTTGGAATTGTGTTTCTGCCCAATGCAGTGCTGGACCATTGATTTATTATAAAAAGGCACTGAAGGGGATTGTTCAATGGAACCATTACCTCTGGTGTGCAAAACCAAATGATCCTGTGGATTTTCATTGCCTGCCTCTATCCAAAGGAGTACAATACATTCAGCCCCGATAGCCTGTTCTTCCAATGAGTTGGCTTGTCGCTGATCTACGCCCTAACTCCATATACCCAATCTTGCCTTTGGAACTTTTGTAACTTGGCAGGTGGCTCAGTGGTTAGCATGCTGCCTCACAGCGCCAGCAACCCAGGTTCGGTTCCACCCTCGGGTGACCGTCTGTGTGGAGTTTGCACGTTCTTCTCGTGTCTGAGTGGGTTTCCTCCGGGTGCTCCAGTTTTCTCCCACAATCCAAAGATGTGCAGGATAGGTGGATTGGCCATGCGAAATTGCCCGCAGTGTTCAGGGATGTGTAGATTAGATGGGTTACAGGGGGATGGGTCTGGGTAGGATGCTCTGAGGTTCAGTGTGGACTTGTTAGGCCGAAGGACCTGTTTCCACACTGTAGGGATTCAATGATCTTCAATGAAAAATTCACCCATATCAGTATAAAATTAACTAATGTTCTTGAACCAACAATTCCAAGTGAAAATGTAAAGATCCATAATGTTACTTAATGATGTATAAATTCCTAATTTCAGTGAAAATGACCATACATGAATTGATAGTTCACTGAAGTAATGACACTTTTCCACAGATACCAGAAAACCATGAGAATTTTTTTCTTATTTTTGAAAAAATATAAAGTAACTCTCACCTTTGGGCCAAGAATTCCAACTCCAGTTTCACCCACAGGGCCAACAGGACCAGGGGGACCTGGATCACCCTATAAAAAATAGATTTAAGAATGATCTATTAATCTAATATAACGTGCATGTTCTGTTGTATTTTGTGTAAAGATGATGAAAATATGATAAACTGTTTCCAGGACCTTTTTTGCAAGACCAATTGATCCATTTAGATAAGAACAGGAGGCATCCAAGTGATTTGGCTCTTTAATGTGTATTTTGGATGAAAAAAAACTGATAAAGTAACTCTCGTCTAAATGATACAAAATGCCCGATTTCAGTTTGTAGACCCATTATGTTATACTTCACGGAAAATCTGATCAACTGATGATAAAACCAATTAATTTGTTTTTGTTTTGATTTTATGCTCATATTATTTTAAATATTTTCAATAGTTTAAATATTTTGTTTGTTGTTTGGAATTCAATTTAGTGATTTGTTAAAATAGAATTATTAATTTTTATATTCAAATAAATGCCTTCTTCTTATGCAGCCCCTCAAGACCAAGGTTGACTTTCATCCTATCCGGAGTTGTAGGTGACTAAACAGCCCACAGCTGGAATTGCACACAATGCCACAGACGGGATAGGCGATGCTTGAAACCGCAGATGGATGGGATGCTCTGGTTTTAACACACCTTTTTCACTGTTTGTGCCTGACTTCCACTTGGGTTTGTCAAAGACAACCAAGATCGTTGGCACTTTCACAAATGCATCTTCTCCAGTTTGGTAGTCTTGGGCAAGAGATTCCCATGAGTAGGTGGGGATGTTGTATTTTTTCAAGGAGGAACTCAGTTTAGAAAATTAACTGAAATGGACATCTCAATTTGTGTATTCAAATAAATGTAAATAATGTTGAATAGATAAAACCATATTATTAAACAATTCAAAATTGCTATAATGATGAAGTTGCAGAATACAGCTTTTTCTGCTGTAATGTGTGTTTTGTTAACGCGAATTGGCTGTAACACAATTGACGAATAGTGGATGCTGTATGGATAATGCAAACTTTCTACTGTACAGTATAACAATTTTCTATAGTGTTTTCCCTACCATGTAATTTTCTATAGCGATTTTCCGTAGCGAAAGGTCATACAGGAACCCAACTATCGTGTTATAGGAGAAATATCTGTATTTGTGAATCATTAATCACACTGATGTCAGAAATTAGATTAGTTAATGTTAAAACTATTTTGTCTGTTGCCTGTTGTGACATTTAGTTCAGAATTTTACCTCATGGTAATGGTGTGTAAAGATCATTCCGGCAGTCGCACTGATATCTGCGTGCTCTAGTCTGGAGTTTTGAATAGTGATAGTAAAAATTCCAATTTCTTTTTCTCACATGGTTGACGAGGAATCTCTCCCGCTCTTACTGCCTGCCATTGATGTATGTTAGAAAGATTTCCACACTGATACCCAACTTGTTTGGCTACATTATGAATGCACCATCCTTCGCCATAAAGCTCATGGGGAGAACTCAAATCCTGAGCTCCTGACGCTGAGTCAAGGACACCGCCCACTATGCCACAAGACCTATTCTTCCATGTATGATACACAGAACTTTAAAGCTGACTAATGTAGTGTTAGAAAACAACTGATTTTTTGTGGGAGAGGGATACACTGAGGTGATTTTTTGTATTGTTCAACTCTTATTTTGCAATGAGGAATTTTAAGACTACCAGAATCATGTTACATGTTTATTTCTACCTTAAGTCCCATAATGCCACGTCCTGTAAGGCCTGGCATTCCTGGGCGCCCCAGAACACCAGGTTCACCCTGCAATGTGAATTAAAACAAAACAGATTATTAACAATCTGATGCAAAATATGAGTAAAATTCTTAATGAGTAATCTTTGCATTGTGTTGGCAATTGACAATCATGATATTCTCCACCACAGGAATGTCATTGCTAATGACAATTATGTTTACTTCTATGCTACAAATGGTAGAAAGACTTGATCCAATAAACTTTCCTGGAAATACCTTTCAGTGTCAATGTTAAGTAACAGGTGTGAGCTGGCTTCTGCTGATCTTTCATGAATATTATGTTTCATTGTTTTAATATGAATGAAAATGGCATTCTCACAGCATTTTAACATGCCAAAAATCAGCTTTTCAGAATCCTCTAATAGATGATGACACAAAGCTCTCCAGACTCGAAACGTCAGCTTTCCTGCTCCTCTGATGCTGCCTGGCCTACTGTGTTCATCCAGCTCTACAACTTGTTATCTCAGACTCCAACATCGGCAGTTCCTGCTCTCTCCTCCTTCTCAACTTCTTTCTCCTTATTTACTGCCTGCAATGCAGCTGTTACGCAGTATCCAGTACGCTGGTTTCCTTGTAACTTCCATTCCGAAACATGTTAAATCTAATGTCCTCAACTGTGTCTTCAAACCTCTGATACTCTTCCCTAACATGCTCCATTATATTCTCTAACTCTTTACTCCATTGTGCACATACTATTTCTGACAAAAGACTGTTGTGTCTTACCCAGTCTTATCCCACTATAAATAGCAATGTTCTTATTGCCTTTCTCTACTTTGACACATCCTTCCCAAACACTTCCACATCTCCATTTCTTTTTCAAATTGTCTTTTCAATTAAGCCATCTATTACCTACCCTAAGCTCTCCCTTCTTTTATCAGTTAGTATTTGGTTTTATATTTGTTTCCAGCTTGTGAAGCACCTGGAACATTGGTTACAGTAACAGCCATTGATTGTATAAATGAAATTCAACACTGTAGTTTTATCCCAGAATGAAAGGTTTGAAGATTGTAAACAAAAACATGAAATTACCAGATGGCAGAGCTTGATGAAATTTACCAGCGCTGCGAAGCACTACAATTTAGTAAAGAAGTGAACTTACCTTTGGTCCCATTGGGCCTGTTGCTCCAGGTGGACCAACCAAACCTCGTAGTCCCCTCTGACCTATATCACCCTACAGAAAACAAAGGGACACATTTTTGAGAAAGAGCAGTTTCCTTTTTGTACTACTGAACCATAAAGAAATGTTTATCTTCAACTTCCTGGTGTAATCTAAAGCAGTAGATCTCCAGCTTTTTGGAGTTCTACAACTGATGGACTCGGGTAGTGCCATTCTGCTGCATTATTGTATAAGTGGCAACAGGGAAATCTTAGGCCATATCTCAGGACAAATGCTGTGTCCTGTTTGTTTCAGATTTAAGGGATTTTACCTTCTCTCCTTGAATTCCAATGCCCACAGCACCTTCAGCCCCTCGTGGACCTGGCGCTCCTGGTTCACCCTAGGATGGCAACAAAAGGAAAGTCTGAATGTTCAGTGCTTCCTGTAATAATTTTTAAATCACTTACTATACAGAGAGCGCAGCTGCTTGTTTAGGATTCAGCATCTGTAAGCAGAAAATGCAAGAATTAATTAAGATGGCCTGATCATACAAATGATAACCGAAACACCAGTGTTCACATGTAAAACTGGAGATGCTATAATAAGAATGTTAGTATAGGAAATGAAAGTATTATTTTTATCTGCACGTGGCTGTTTCTCAGACTCATTGAACTGGACAATACAAAGCACATGCCTGATCCATGGGTCAAGCATCATCCCGATGATTGGCCTTGTGACAATCATTTAATTCTGGAAGTTAAGTTAATTGCTTTAAAGTGAGACTTCTGCCCCTTTCTCAGGGGGATGTCCTGCCCTAGTTATAATATACCAGTGAACAAAACACATGGCTCAGTGGTTAGCACTGCTGCCTTACCGTGTCAGGACCCCGGTATGATTCCAACCTTGGGCAGCTGTCTGTGTGGAGTTTGCACATTCTCCCTGTGTCTGCGTGGGTTTCCTCTGGGTGCTCCGGTTTGCTCCCACAGTCCAAAGATGTGCAGGCTAGGTGGATTGGCCATGCTAAATTGCCCATTGTGTTCAAGGGTGTGTAAATTAGGTAGGTTATCAGGAAAGGGTAGGGGATGGGTTGGGGTGGGATGTTTTGAGAGTCGGTGTGGACTTGTTGGGCCAAAGTGCCTGTTTCCACACTGTAGGGATTCTATCATTTTAAAACACATTTGGGAGTTAAAATATTGAGTTGACTACTCATGTAACAAAAGCATGTCACAGCTGGAAAAGGCTCAACTTAGACATGGACAAGTGCAAAAATATGGCTTTGGGGGTCATTAAATAAACCTGGGGTTGTCTTAAACTATCAGATTGACTTAGATGTTGCAATGTATGGTATTTTGACTTGATGATCGAGGATCACTTTCCTAGTTAGGGCATTGGTTGATAAGAATATCTGGAGGCAAGCAAATGGAATTTCAAACCCCTCGCGACAAGCCTACCTCTCCAAGTAGCCAAGCTGACTGGTTAAACATTATCATCTTGAATAATGTGGTTCTGCTTGATCAAATGTCAAATTATTAACTGCTTATTAACAGAGGAGATGCCCAGTAGTCTTCCTGTCACTGCCCAATAAATACTGGAAAATAGCATTCCAAGAAGCCAAAGAACAGTATACAGCTGAAAAGATGAAAAAAGTGGGATGGCCCCATAAAATATGGGAGAGTTGTTCACCCACATTTTGTCCCACAATAATCCTCTTCTTGTGACCAGGAATTGTGGAAGGTAAGGAAAGAGTGCAAGTATTTGCTTATTCTCATTTTCACCTTAATCAGTTTTCATACTATGTTTTAAACTTACATTTTCTACATTCAGTTACTGTTTTCATTTTTCTTTTACATTGCCATAATTCTGACTACCATTGATGGCGCCATCTGAAGCTATCACAAGCAAAGTACGTGTAATCTTAGAATTACCTTTTGTCCTGGAGCACCATCTTCTCCTGGAAGACCGGGGAGACCTGCCAATCCAGAGGAGCCAGGTTCACCCTAACAAACACAAAGATCAAAACCTTAGCAGAGAAACATCAGAATATGCTGGGTGATGATTCTGTCGTTTCGCTTATTAACTGCTTATTAACAGAGGAGATGCCCAGTAGTCTTCCTGTCATTGCCCAACAAGCACTGCAAAATAGCAATCCAAGAAGCCAAAGAACAGTATACAGCTGAAAAGGTGAAAAAAAATGGGATGGCCCCATAAAATATGGGAGAGTTTCGCTTCAAGCAAAAATCATTCACCACAGTGGACAAATGAGGTCAGCCAATTGATAACTTATGGCAGCTCTGGATATCTCTCTTAGCACTGAAGACTGATCGAATCAGCACCCCATGTGAAAATCAAGGCCATGTCACTGTGTTGTGTACTAGGTACTTTTCCAGTGGATAGGGAATGGTACACAAACAGAGGAATGGTCACTCGACCTGAAACATTAACTCTGATTTCTCTCCACAGATGCTGTTAGATCTGCTGAGATTTTCCAGCAATTTCTGTTAGTGTTTCTGATTTACAGCATCCGCAGTTCTGTCAGTTTTTATAGGAGAGTGAATGGTACCAGTGTGCATGGACAAAAGACAACCAAGATCTTGTCTGAGATAGTAAGAACTGCTGATGCTGGAGTCTGAGATATCATCAACGCATAGATGAGTTGAGGGCAGGAGGGTTTTTGCAGAAGAAAGGGGAGCAGGGGATGGGAAATGACTTTGAGAGGCTTCTCCCCACTTTCCCAAGGCTGGGTCTCGCGATGAGCACCCCGGGAGGTTGACAACAGGGTTTGCTGGGTGACCTTTATGAGGCAGGGGAGAGGCATGTGGCTCCATGTTGATTATCAGCCAGCTCTAAATTGCAGTTTCAGGTACAAGTGGCATGAAATGGCTCAGTAATGAGCCTAATCGACATCTCAACAGTGACAGGCAGGATTCCAGCTTCGGGGCTGTCCCACCCACAATTTAATCAGGAATAGTTTTTCTGATGCTAGGAATCTGAGATGAGTAGCCCCACCCAATTCCCCTGCCTCGAGCCATCATTCCAGTTCAAGCATGCTGAACTAAATTTAACCCTATGTAAGGGAGGAAAAGCGTAAATTCTTAAACTGTGCATTATATCAGGAGAAGAAATTAACTTCCTTTTTTTTCTTTTTATATCCAGAAGTTCTATCATGCACAAGCAAATCACTGTGATTTTTCTTTTGTATTTAACTATTAACCACCACCAGTAAATCGCCTGTGTATCTGATTGGACGTTGACGTGTAAAGCCCATTATTGGCAACGTGAATCATCAAAAGTGAGGGAGGGATAGGGAGAGATGGAAGGGGCTAAATCAAAATGGAGTTTGAGAGGGAGATAAAGCACTGTATGTCCTGTGGTGCCCACCTGTCTCTAAAAGAATCAACAGCATTGATGGACACCATGTGCTCCCTCTCCAAGAATAGCCGGGCACAAATGTAGCCATAGGAGTGGGATAGTACAGTCAGCAGAGATGACCCCCTCAACATCCAGCTCCTGGACATGTTTATAGCCAGCCTGGCCAAGCCCAGGAGCTTAACGGCTGATGTGCAACCAAAAACATAACACAAGATTTTTCAATTTACCAAAAAGGGGGTGCAATCACCCACAACCAATATATACATGATCCGTGGACTTCACAGTGGTGCAAAATGAACAGTTGGGATGGGAGTCCATGAAACACCGCAATCTATGGTTATATGGGAGTGCTGCATTCAACACCCTCCACTCAGATCCCCGAAGGAAAACAGGCATTCTCCCATATAGACAGCTGGGGATCCCCACTGCCCGGTGGCAAATGAATACGCCAAGGCATGTCGTCGTGATGGATGAAAGAGTCGAAGTAGATGGTGTGCAGCAGCGGCCTATACAGAAAATGCCCCTTTACGAGGTGAAGGAAGGAACACCAGTGTCGATGCGAAACTTTGTCCTATCAGGGGTATGCACAGATGGGATTCCACCACACAACTGAGTGTCCTCCAACATCAACTTTGCAGTTTCCTTTGTCTATTACATTGTGAACCTGACAAATTTACAGGCGGTCATTTTTAAGGTGGTACATTAATGCAAATGTATATCTGTTAAGATGCCTAAAAGTCTTTCAGTTTTCAATGGATTAATGCTAGCCCTTGCAACCATACTTTTAGAATGTAGTTTTCGCATTATTTTCAAAATCATTTACTCAAGATGTAACTAAAACATATTTTAAATGTGAAAGTGTGATGCAGAAATATTTGTTGCTCTCAATTAGGATTCAGAAAAAAGTCAGAGGTGCAGTTCCTGTAAATGGCCAATAGATGGGACAATGTGTAAACAGAATTCAAGGGCTGGTTTTAATACTTCTGTATGAGCAGTTAGAAGGTGTCTAATGTTGGCACATTGCAGATGCCGGTCATCATTCTGCCTTTTAAATGGCCATCTGTTGGCCTCTTCAACCTGGCCCTTCTCACCTTTGCAACCCTTTCTCCATCTTGTTGCTAACCTTGGTGAACAGTACACTGAGACATCAGTTTAACACCATATTTATCGCAGCATGTGCCAGCTGTCTGCACGGCAAACTGCACATGTATTCAACCAAATGGCGACGTTAGAAACTGGATGGGGACTAGTCCTTGGTCCAGTCAAGGAATGACTGCTGTCAGTCAGGAGCACAGTCCACACACTGTACAGGGGTTTGGCCACAGATAGTCAGTCATTAGCTTGCAGCTCTTATATCAGGGAATTTGTCCAATTGCATCCAGAGAGTGGGCAGTGGTCAGTCCTGTAGGGCATGAAGCAGCACTTAAGGGAATTACATGTTATCAGTCAGGGAGCTACAATGACCAGGGTCAGGGTCTGGTCTGTCATGTCCAGGGACTGTTTGTCAAAGTCACATGTCAGGGGTGAATACAGTCTTTGGATAGCGTCCGCCAATCGTTAAGGAGGGTGCAAGGAAGGCCTCTAGGGCCAGCAAAGGCTACATTGCTAAAAGGGATGTGGGAATCAGAGATGGGGCAGGAGCAGAGATACCTGTGCAGGTGAGAACAAGGACACTGACCCGGGGTGGGGGGGTCCTCAAAGTTTACAGGGGTATGCGAACAGCATTGGAGGGTATGATAGGCTGCAGGAAAAGGATTTATTGACGGTGATCACTGTCATGTCCTTCACAGGGAATGTAAAGGAACGATGTGGGCATCATGAAGGTAAGGATTCAGGGTCAGGGAGGACAGCTAGAGACAGATAGCGGTGGGTCTCCACATGGGGGGAAATATGTGGAGATGGGCCGTCAGGGTAATGTGAGGTAAATGGGGATGTGGAGGCTCTGGTAATGTACCTGCTGACCAGGTACAGCCCAGTGTTGACGATATCCATGGGAGCTTCATTCCCTGCTATCATTTGCTATTCTCTACTGGGTGGAGACAGATTGAGTTTGATAGAATAAAAACACAGGATCCAGGTCTGCTCGACATTAGGACATTAGGACATTGAAGGGCAAATACATGAAACATGTGATTACAAACTCCAACTACATTTCATCTGCAAACATTTACTCACACATGTGCAATTCATGCGGACTGGATGTGTTAATGCATCAAATGTTGGCCAAAGGCAGATTGCACTGGTGTTATCGGTGCTTCCAAATTTAACATTGAAATCTCAGTGTTGCAGGATTTAGCAGCAAGAACTTCAAAAGAGACAATTGCTGGCCAAAAGCAATGTGGAATCTCCAAAGCTATTGTGGGATGAAGGGAACACTGCTGGATCATATCTCCAATCAGTATGACAATTGAACTAATGAATGTAATGGAAGATGGAATGGTTGAGGTGGGTCTGTAACACCAAGGGGGTTGGAGCACAGTGTTACAGTGTGTTGATCAGTCAGTTAATGTGTACTTTCACCAAGCTGGTGCACAAGCTGCAACCAAGGCCAAAGCTGGGTAGTTGATAGGTCTTCTGAAGGTCTGGTTGCTCAGCTTTCAGAGCAATCTGAGGAGGACCTCCAAAATAAGCCATACAGAGAGTGTGCTGCACCATCCTCGCATGCTGGGTTCTGTGCAACTGCAGCAGGACACTGGGGTGGAGGATAGAGCTCAGCTACATTGGGCTGTACATAGGCTGACAGGGCCTGACTAACATCTGAGTCCAGTGGATGCAAGCTGGGTGCAGAGAATGCTGGTGGACTGTCGAGGGCAAGATGCCAGCATTTGGTTCACATTGTGGAGCAAATTGGAGCCTGTACTCATTTCTTTTGTGTTTGCCTTTGCTGGTTGTTAATAAAATCTCACGTTTGAACTTGTCTGATGGTTTCCTGAATTTGATATTCTCCTACTGGCCAACAACTAGATGCAGGTGGCCACTAGGCGTTGAGAAAAGAATAGTGGAGACTCAGAGTAGGTCTTCAGATAGGTTGTGTATAAGGACAGATAAACTGTGCCGTGGTGTTTAGATAGCGACTACGGTTAGAAAATGGAGTTCTATGGGGTGGAGTGTTATCCATGAGCATGTGACATGTACAGTGTGGCTTTGTGATTGATGTGTCATTGAGGGGCAATGACAGATTGGAGTTTGCACATCCTCCCTGTGTCTGCATGGGTTTCCTCCCACAGTCCAAAGATGTGCAAGTTAGCTATGCTAAATTGCACGTAGTGTTCAGGGATGTATAGATTAGGTGGGTTATAGGGGGATGGGTCTGGGTGGGATGCTCTGAGGGTCGGTGTGGACTTGTTGGGCTGAAGGGCCTGTTTTCACACGATAGGGATTCTATGATTCTATGAATACTAGTCCAGGTGCACAGCATCCTCTCAAAGATTGCACTGACACACATATTGTCTTTCAACAGATATCCACTGAGTGGTCAGTTGTTCTGAGGATGGTGTGTGGTGAGATTGGGGTAGGATTGGGTGTGAAGGATGTGTTAGGAGTGGGGTAAGTAGTTAGTGAGGCATGTTCGGTAAGAGATGGTGAGAAATCTCACTGAGCCTTGCAGTAAGAATTCCTCAAGAAAAAAATTCAATGCAACTTGCACTTAGGCAAAAAAAAGTGTAAGATTCAGCCCCTTGGGTCTGTTATGACTGAGGAGGATATGAAAAATCATCCAAAAGCAGATATCTAAGGGACTAGCAAAAATGTGGAATTGAAGGAAATTAGTATTAGTAAGAAAGGTGTGTTGGAGAAATTAATGTGACCGAAGTTTGAGAAGACTCTGTGACTGCATCCCATATTCTGCATTCCTGACTGGTGAAAGCTATGAAGCTATGGTGATCATCTTCCAAAATTCTATAGATTCTGCAATGGCTCCTGCAGCTTCCTAGCAAATGCTACCCCATTGTTTAAGAAGAGAGCAAGAGAGCATGGGGAACTGCAGGCTGGTTAGCCTTACATCAGTGGTAGTGAAAATGCTAGTATCTATTACCAATGGGTGATAAATGAGCATTTGGATAATAATGAAATGAATAGGCAGAATCAGCGTAGATTTAGAAATGGGAAACAATGTTTGGTTAACCTGTTGCACACTTTGAGGATGTTACTAGCATAATTGATAAAGGGAAGCCTATGAACGTAGTTTATTTGGCTTCTCAGAAGGCTTTTGATCGAATCCACAAAATTAGCAAAATTAAAACACATGGGATAGGGTGGGATAGGGTTAGGGTTAACCCTAATCTAGTGTCATGGATTAATAATTGGCTAACAGGCAGAAAAAGGAGAGTTGGAATACAACACATCATTCTCGTGTTGGCAGGCTGTGACTAATAGTGTACCACAAGGATCAGTACTTGGATTACAACTTTCCATAACATATATCAATGATTTGGAGGTGGAGACTAAATGTAATATTTCAAATTCATGGTATCCACCAAAGCAGGGTAGAAATCTCTATAGTGGTGAAGATACAAAGTGGATTCAAAAAAATTTGGAGAGACTTAGTGAGTGGCCAAGAACATGGTAGATGAAATATAATATGGAAAAATGTGAGGTTATCAGTTTGGTTGGAGAAACAGATATGCAGAAATTTCTTTAATGGAAAGAAATTAGAATGTGTAAATGTACAAAGGGACCTGGGTGTCCTTGTCAATGAGTCACTGAGGGTAACATTCAAAGACAGCAAACAATTCGGAAAGCTAATGGAATGTTGGCCTTTTTTTGTAAGAGGATTTGAGTATGTGAGGAGTGCAGCTTTGCTTCAATTGTATCCTTGGTGAGACCACAGCTGGAGTACTGTGCACAGTTTTGGTCCCCTTCTATTAGGAAGGATATTACTACCATAGACGGAGCACAAAGGTTCACTAGACTTGTTCCTGGGATGACAAGACAGTTCTATGATGGCAGATTGAGTGAATTAGGTCTGTATTCTCTAGAGTTTGAAGAATGAAAAGTGATCTAATTGAAACGAAAAAAATACTTAAGAGGAATAGCAAGGGTAGAGAGGGTTAAGATGTTTATCCTGCCAGGGGCACAAACTAAAAATAAGGGAAATGCCTTTTACACTGAGATGAGGAGAATATTTTTTAAAACACCAAATCTGTGAATCTTTGGAATTATCTACATCACAGCTCAGACATTGAGTATGTTTAGAGATTGACAGATTTCTAAACACCAGTGATGCAAAGGGATATGGGATAGTGTAGGGAAACTTGATGGTCAGCCATGATCATGCTGATTGGTGGAGCATGCTCCATTGTCTGAATGGCCTATTCCTGCTCCTATGTTCCTATGTGATTCCAACCATATTTCTTACAGGTATTACGCATTTTCCATTAATCAGACATTTAATATCCACTGATGTCTCCATTATTATTTGTTACATACTTTTGGTCCTGGTTCTCCAAGTCCCCTTTCTCCTGGAGCTCCAACTTCTCCGGGCAAACCTTGATCCCCCTGCAGAGGTCAACTCAAATGAATATACATGTTTTTTTCAATTAAACTGAACACAAAGTGATGCAAGATAGATATGCACTAAATGCAATTCGAAACCCAATTCACTTGATTTTCCAAAACAAGGGGTTTGGATTTCTTGATGTCGCTTGCATTGATCTCAATTGCTCGATACTGGGGCTGGGGGGTGGTGATGGAAACTGGAAGCTGCCATAGACTTAAATGCTGCAAATATCATCAACGTCATGGCTGGGAAGTCAATGCAGCCAGAGGAGCTGTAGGAAAGAGAGCACCTGAGTGCATTATATTAGGATCAGGTATATAGGATAACTTATATCAATCAAGTTGAGCATCCTTGTCTGGTGCAGCAGAACTGAGGTGCTAACCTCATGGAAACTATATACCTGAGAGCACTGCCACACTACTCCAAGAGACAGAAGCCCATGCTTAGATTAGGTTGCAAGCATTAGACAACAACCTGAGCATTTTTTAATGGGCCCATAACAGTGATGATTAATCTTTGTGACAATGATTGCCTATCCAGTTTCAGGCCCACCTTAGGTCCACAATGAGGCCCACAGACAGTGTCAACATCCGACGCTCACATTGGACTTGCCAGGCACTTTTGATGAATTTGTGATGAAGATAGGAGTGCAATTGGAACTGCTCAAATCTATAGGTGTGATATACAGGAACAAGAGCAAAGAAGAATGTGTCCTTCTGGAATATAATTTCCTTCCCATTTATCCTTGGGCACAAACCTGGTGTATCTGGGTTCCACAGGAAATTACAGCTCCTTTGTGTTTTAAGGAACAATGACATTCTCATGAGCTGATCTAATATTAGATCAGTCACAGCACACTGTGGAATAATTGCGCTCCCAATTAGACTAATAGACTCAAGGCCAAGCTTAACTAGAACCTTGGCAAGCTGAACAAACATTGACATCACTCAGAATTCAATAAATGTACATTCTCCCCAAATTCAATTAACAGTGACCTGTTTTTCTGCTGTAAAGAAAATCAACAGGACTGCCTCTTAAGGGACAGTGCTCACATACATTCAGAGAATCCTGCACATTGAAAATAGTTGATACACTGAAAATTTTGACTACATATTAATAAACAGCAGTAAAATTTCAGAATTTTATTAGAACACTAAAAGTCTTGGGGGCCTGGACCAACAGTGCAAGTGCAGTAAAATAGAAACCCTACTGATCCTAGTCCTGAGTGAGAAACACAGTTCACAATCCCTGGGACCAGACCATTTAAGTGATCAGTGTGCCACATTGCATTTACAACGGCTTTTCAGTAGTGACCTCCCCAATCCTCTGGATAGCAGGTGGAGTGGCTTAGACTGATTCTGCTGGAGACAAACCTGAGGTCAATCCTTGGGTCAAAACAAAATGAAAAGAATGTATCAGAGATAGTAGGAACTGCAGATGCTGGAGAATCTGAGATAACAAGGTATAGAGCTGGATGAATACAGCAGGCCAAGCAGCATCATAGGAGCACTTCTGATGAAGGGTCTAGGTCCGAAACGTCAGCCTTCCTGCTCCTATGATGCTGCTTGGCCTGCTGTGTTCATCCAGCTCTACACCTTGTTATCTCAATGAAAAGAATGTCTTCAATATTGAGATCAAAATGAATATGTTTGCTGTTGATCACCATTATCTTGGCTGTTTAGGTGCTAACATTAGGGCCTCAGTGATATTCTCACCATCAATAATCTGGATTTGGTTCCACTGATGTGTACAATGATGTTGAATTCAAGTTCTGCTTCAAATACGTGATTTCCCCTGATTCTTGAGAGACCAGAAAGCTCAATTCTTCTCTGGGACAGAGTGTTAAAAGTGCTTAGAAGCAGTAAAATATTAACATCTATTGGTTGCAAAAGAAATATTTGTATATTAAAAATAAAGAAAATGGATTAAAATTTTAAAAATTGATTGGAAGAAGATTGGTTTATCATATAAAAACCTGTGCTTTAGAAATAATGTAAATCACAGAATGATTACAGCACAGGAGGAGGCTAGTCACCATGTTATAGGGGTGACATAATGGCTCAGTGGTTAGCACTAATGCCTCACAGTGCTAGGGACCCAGATTATTCCCCCTTGGGTGACTGTCTATGTGGAGTTTGCTCATTCTCTCCATGGGTTTCCTCTGGGTATTACTTTTTCCTCCCATAGTCCAAAGATGTACAGGTTAGGTGGATTGGCAATGTTAAATTGCCCATAATGCCCAGGGGTGTGCAGGCTAGATGGATTAGCCATGGGAAATGCAGGGTTACAGGGATAGGGGAGGGAGGGTGGGTCTGGTTAGATGATCTTCTGAGGGTCTGTGTGGACTTGTTGGGCGAAATGATCTGCTTCCACACTTACGCATTCTATGTTATGTCTTTTGGCTTTCTAGAAAAGGAACTCAGCTCGTCCCACACCCTAGCCTTTTCCTGGAGCCTTGCCATGACTGGATTTCCCTTCACCACATTTTCAGGCAGTTCATTCCAGATCCTAACCACTCGCTGCATGAAAAAGGGTTCCCTTCGTGCCGTCTTTGGTTCTTTTTCTACTCACTTTAATTCAGTATCTGCTGGTCTCAATCCTTACTGTAATAGGAAGAATTTCTCGCTCAGTCTGTTCAGATCTCTCAAGACTTTAAACACTCCAGTATCAAATTTACATTTAAATCATGGTATCAGATTTGATATATTGATGTGAATAGAGAACTGGTTGGCAGGCAGGAAGCAGAGTGTTGGAATAAATGGGTCCTTTTCAGAGTGGCACGCAGTGATGAGTGGGCTGCCATAGGGTTCAGTGCTGGGACCTCAGATGTTCACAATATACATTAACAATTTGGAAGAAGGAATTGAATGCCGTATCTCCAAATTTGCAGATGACACTAAGCTGGGTGGATGTGTGTGCTGTGAGGAGGATGCTAAGAGGCTGCAGGGTGACTTGGGACTGGCTGAGTGGATAAATACTTGGCAAATGCAATATAATGTGGATAAACGTGAGGTTATCCACTTTGGTCACAAAAACACGAAAACAGATTATTATCTGAATGATGGCAGTTAAGGAAAAGGTGAGATGCAACGAGACCTGGGTGTCATGGTTGAACAGTTGCTGAAGGTTGGCATGCAGATGCAGCTCGCAGTGAGGAAAGCTAATGGCATGCCCTCCTTCATAGCAAGAGGATTTGAGTAACGGAGTAAGGGTGTCTTGTTGCAGGTATACAGGGCCTTGGTGAGGCCACAGCTTAATTATTGTGTGCAGTTTTGGTCTCCTAGTCCAAGGAAGGACATTCTTGCTATTGAGGGAGTCCAGTGAAGGCTCACCAGACTGATTCCCGGGATGGCAGGGCTGAAATATGCAGAAAGACAGGATCGACTGGGCTTGTATTCGCTGGAATAGATGAATGAGGGGGGGATCTCATCAAAACAGATAACATCCTGATGGGACCAGACAAGCTAGATGCAGGAAGAATGTTCTCAATTTTGGGGAAATCTAGAACAAGGGGTCACAGTCTAAGAATAAGGGGTAAGCCATTCAGGACTGAAATGAGGAAGAATTTCTTCACTGAGAAAGTTGTGAACCAGTGGAATTCTGACCCATAGGAAGCTGTTAGAGCCAGTTCATTCAAAATATTCAAAAGGGAGCTGGATGTGGCCCTTATGGCTATAGGGATCAAGGGGTATGGGGAGAGGGTTGGAATGGGGTACTGAGATTGTATGATTAGCCATGATCATAATGCATGGTGGTGCAGGCTTGAAGGGCCAAATGGCTTACTGCTGCATCTATTTTCTATGTTTCTATCTCTCTTCTGTCAGGAGAACAGCCCCAGTGTCTCCAACCTATCCACATAACTGAAGTTTATCCTCCCTGGAACTATTCCAATAAATGTTTCTATACTCTTTATGATGCTTTCACATCTTTCCTAAAGTTACATGGTCAGAATTGGATAATACTCCAGCTGAGGTCAACCTAGATGACTTCCTTGCATTTGTAGCTCTGTGGTTATACTTATAAAGCCCAGGATCCTCAATGCTTTATTAGATGCTATAACAATCTGCCCTGCCAATTCCAACAACCTGTGCACATAAATCTTTGGGTAACTCTGCTGTTTAACTGATATTAGAACTGAGTAATTTATTTTATCTGTCCTCATTTTTCCATCCAAAACTTACCATTTCATTCTCCTCTACATTAACTTTCATCTGCTACATATCTGTTACATATCTGTTCATTCGCATAGCTTCTTGAAGTCTATCAGGATCCTCACAGTTCACAAAATTTCCAAGCTGTGTATCATATGCAGATTTTCAGTACCAGACACTAGGTTACGAATATGAAGAAAAGAAATGGCAGGGGATCCCACTATAAATACTCTTCCTGACCAAAATACATGTGCTCACAACCACATAGCTGTTTGAGATGTTGGGATGGCAATGTCATAGCAAGGAAGGCGGCATCCTGAAATCCGATGAAGTGAAATTTTTGGACTTTCATGTTAGTATTACTGGCAACAGTGAGAAATTGAATAGAATCCTTACTCAGGAGAGTAAGTGGATGAAGCAAGTTGCATTGGCCTGATTTTAACCAATTCAAACTGCACCCACTTGCACAGAATAATGAACTTGCTTGTTGAAGGACATGATAGACTGTCAACTTTAATAGACTTTTGTCACTTTTTTTGTTTTCTTGGGCTTTAGTGGCTTTTTGCAATGCCAGATATATTGAAGATGCATTGAATTGTTCTCCAAATACCATCTAAAAATGAACATTTACAGTTGAACTAAAATCTTGTTTGTAGGTTTGTAAAAACAAAAAACCTTCTTTAACATATTTTGGATTTTCTTACCTTTGATCCAGGCAGTCCTTCACCTGGAGGTCCTTTCGGGCCAGGTGGACCTCGTGGACCCTGTTCTCCCTGTTGATGTATGAAAACAAAATGCCATCATTCAAAGCAATTCCATTAGTGCAATTCTATAATGGGGTAATGTAGGTCTGAGGTTTGACAGGGTGAAATAGGTGGACCAAGCCAAGGCTTTAAACTTTAGGAAATCAAACTTCGTATTGATAAGAAATAACTTTGTCACTTCAAACTGAGTTGAGCTGTTAGGAGGTGAACAAATCTACTTGAACCAGTGGAAAATATTCCAAAAGCTTTTGACGCAACACATAATTAGTGCAGAAGACATACAGGTGAGTATACTTAAAAATTTCATTTCAGATTTCTCTGTGGGTCAGGAAGAGACAGGGCTTTAGCCCTCTCTTACCCTGACTCCCCTTGCCTACTTGATCACTTCAGAATCCATCTTGTTAACTGACTGCCTTGGACAGTTTCTGCAAGTTTCCATGTGTGGCTGCTGGCACTGAAGTTTTCTGCTAAGTTGCAGCAGTAGCTATGTTTGGGGAAGACGCTGGGAAAGTCTATGGAATTGAGGAGCAGCTATTAAAATTGACTGAGCTTGCAGAACCTCAGTAAATCCACCCACACCCTCCCTACCACAAATCACCACCACCAACACCACAAAGATTGCCATTGCTTCAGAGCTTACATGGGCCTTATTGCTTAACCCCCACCCTTAAAATTGGGGCCAAAGAACTAACTTGTTGGTGGGAAAGTTAGGAATAGTGCACAATCTTAAAATTAGAGTCAAGGCCCGTCTGGAGTGAAATCAGGAAACACTTTTTCACACAGAACAATGAACATCCAGAATTTTTTTATTCATTAATAGGATGAAGGCATTTTTTTGCCCATCCCTAATTGCCCAGAGGGCAGCTAAGAGTCAGCCACACAGCTGCTGTGAGTCTGGAGTCACATGTAGGCCAGACCAGGTCAGGATGGCAGTTTCCTCCCCTAAAGGACATTAGTGAACCAGATTGGTTTTTCCCCGACAATGGATTAATGGTCATCATTAGACTCCTAATTCCAGATATTTATTGGATTCAAATTCCACCATCTGCTGTGGCAGGATTTGAACCCAGGTCCCCAGAATGTTATCTGAGTCTCTGGATTAATAGTCCAGCGATAATACCATTTAGGCCATTGTCTTTCTCTCTTCTAAAAGGCTGTGATTGCTGGGTCAATACAAATATCTAAGAAATATCTAATTAACGTATTGTTATTAGATCAGTTATCAAGAGACAAGGATTGAAGATACACAAGTAGAGTTGAGCTCCAGTCAGCAATGATCAATTAATGGTGGAACAAGTTCATGGAGCCGAATGGCTTAATCATTTTCTTGTGTTTTTAAAATACATGTACACTTAAATCATGATAAAGAGATGGGGTAGAATTTTATGATTTCCCACTGGCGGTATGGGTGAAGTGGGGCACCCATAAAATTCCTGAGATGGTCTTCCCATTGACCCAGTTTCTCCACAATTCAGGATGTGGCTCATGCTCTCTTTCATCAGTTGAGGTCCTTAAGTGGTCAATTAATAAACACTTGAGAGTTGTTTCTTTCCCAGCACAATTTTCAAGCTGGTGAGAGACAAGCCCAGAAAGCAACCCTGCTCAGACGTAGGCAGTAAATGGGAGGAAGGGGGCACCTTTATTAGTGGTTTCCTTTAGACTTAGGGCCACTGACCTCACAAGGTCTGCCTCAAGTGGGCGCTCCCTGTTTTTTACACTCTCCATCAACTCTGCAATCTCCCCTCTGCCCACACCCCTGGGTCTCACCTCCTTTCCCACTACAACCCTCACATCTACCAATCCTGATTTCCTGCTACTTGGATTCTGAGGATCGCCTGTTGTCCCATTTCTCATCCACCACAGTTTTTGGTGCTTATAGGACTAGAGAGATGTTGGCCAAACAGATTTGGCAGGAGGCTTGCTGAGGTGTGATTTTCTTCTGAGTGAGTGGCAGAAGTCTCATATCAAAGAGTGTTAAATGGCTGTGGTTCAGCCAGATATATTCCCTGCCGTCTCTTCAGGTAGTGAGGTGGGAAATCCTGGCCATCAGCATCTTTGAAATAAAAATGAATCCTGCATAAGGTCAGTGCGTGAATGCACTGATAGGAAGGGATAATTTAAGTTCAAGCAGTTTGGTCAGTAAAAGAAAATTGAACAGGGTTTGGAAGTCACAAGAAGTTAATTTTCACCTAAATTGAAGCCCAGCAGGAATTAATAGGTCCAAACCAGCTTTTACCTTTTCACCTTGGAATCCAATTCCGGATGGTCCAATAGGCCCAGGTAATCCAGGAAAACCAATTTCACCCTAATGAAGTACAAGACACAATAAAACTAAAAAAAAATGCACATTAACACAATATAATAAAAGGTACAGATTCCAAACAAGTGAAATTAGTTTCATGTTCTATTTCTGTCTTCGGTTCTTCATTTTTATTCTTGTATAATTTTAAACTATCCTAAAGCCTCAATGATGCTTCTGCAGTCAGAAATGTAATATATAGTAATTGCTGTTGCTTTGACTGGTTGAATATTATTAGGTGATAATATTTGGATTCTGCAATCTTATTCTCAGATTCATGTTGAAAATTATTTAGCTGGTCTTATTGATATCATGTTTGTAATTAATTGGCAAGACTTAATTAGCCTTTTACAAAAAATGAAGTACTCTCTCAGATTGTTCAGGTGTATGAAGAGCCAAGGCTATTAACTTTACTGAACTTGTCAAAGCTTGAACTTCCCCCCCACAAGCCCATTTGGATTGTCCATCACTCCCGAAAGCTAGAAAATGAACACACCATCAGGCCAATGCATACATGCTAAGACTCCTGAACTTTACTCAGGTTAAAGAATATGCAGAAGCGAAAAGAGAGCATGAAGTACAATACTTAAAAACAATAAAGCTAGAATAAATCCACAAGGCATTAATAAGCCTTTTAAAATGGTGTTTATTATGGAGTTTGAATAAGTGCAGAATGTTTGAAATGAGTATGATATGCATTGCACAGATCTTCAAGAAATTATGCTATTTCGAATGGTTAGTTATTGTTCATAAAGGCTGGGTTGATATACTGGATTGAAACCTAATGCAGCCAGGGTTTTGATTTCTATGCTAGGATTTATTATCTATAGCGCTGGAATAAAGGGAGAATCTGAGAGGCTAACAGTTATTGCATCTTGTATGGTGATGTGTTAGTATCTGAAACCTACCATTAATTTCAAATTACTTCGCAGAGCTTCCCTAATGGCTTGGCATGCAGAAAATAATTTACAAGACTGAATATTTCTATATATTAACAGGTAAAACAAACTCTTCTTGACCACAAAGTAAGTTTTTACTTTAATTGAACCAAGTTATTTATTGCTTTTGTATAGAGGTAGCATCTGCATTCCATTTTGTTGAATTATGAGAGAAACTTCGATCTCAGCACTTTGATGAATGAATCTAAACCTGTGTGCATGCTAAATCAGATCATCAGCATAGTGCTAATGTGCCCCAGTTCAGGAATAACCATTATGATGAAAATATGCACAAAGCTGAAGGAGGAAGATAGATCTCTGTTTTTCTGTATGGCCCTATCGACTAATAATTGATTGAGAATTAAAATGGATAATTTTAATCCTTTAAACATAGAACAAAGTGTTTCTTTTCAGGTCATGCTAAGCCAAGACGAAACACAGAAGCACTTTATATTTAAATATTGAGGTGGGCACATCAGCAATGATGTAGATGGCACTGGGATCCACCATAAATTCCCAGGGAATCAATGCTGACATGATGAATTTCTGCTGGGAACCTGCCACCTACCACATATCCAATGGCATGGAGGTTCAAAAACAAAGGAAATGTCCCTTTGTGTCTTCAGTGTTTCTGGATCCTTGAAACCATTAACAAAGTTCCTCTGACCGTAGCCAAGTTTGCCTCTGTGGAATTTTACCGCAGGGACAATCTCAGGAGTTTTGACAGTCATTTAGTGATTACAGGTTCGCAGCGCAATCAGTAAAATTCAATATTCCTTAGGTATGCACCTTTTAAATAATTATTCTGGCTAAACCTTATCACATTTTTAATTTCTTCCTAAATCAAAGCACGAGCATTCTGCGTCCTATAGAGAATTGTTTCACACACACATAAGCTCCATTATATCAACTTGGAAGATATAAACTACCAAGTCTAACTGTAGTCAAAGTTAGCCTTTTGGTTTTTACAAGCTGAGCATAAGTTCATTGAATCAACTGCTGCAGTTTCAAATAAAGTCGCATTATGAATCTGACAAACTGAAGCCTTACCTTATCACCTTTAACACCGATACCTGGAGCTCCACGAGGTCCCTTTGGTCCTTCATATCCACGATCACCCTAATTACAATTTAAAACATGGAGGTGTTTGTTATTTTCCAATGTCAAAAAAAATTTCGATAAAACTTGTTTTGAGAAATATAAGATCACCTTTTGAAGGTTAAAGGAGTTGTAAACACAGGAAGGTCATCCAGATAGCAGCAGGAAATCAGAAAAATTGGATTAGAAATTATATTATTTCTTGTGTGGCTGTAGAAACATTTCAATTGTGCAGCTGCACAGTGCCTGAGGCTTGCAAGATTCCATGCAGTGCAAACTGAGTATTGTTTCAGTTTTGTTCAAGACTGAAGACAGAGATTGGCTTGTTGTCAGAAAGTTTTGCATAAAGACCTGGGGCAGCTACTGTAAATTTAGTGCTTATCAGATTGTATTCAAAGAAGTGCTATTTCTTTGGGGAAATTTTGTATCCGTAGGACACTGTTATTGACAAGCACATTTCTGATGCAGCTAATGTAGCACTGTCGGTATTTATGAGACAAAATCTATGCTTTCAGACCAGTGACAGCTTTTCAACTCTTGGGCATTGAAAGCCTTTGCTTTGTGGCCAATGCCACAAAACTGCAGAAAAAAAAGTGAAAGTTGCTCAGTGGTTACCACTGCTGCCTCATAATGCCTGGGACACGGGTTCGATTTCACCACTGGGCGACTGTCTGTGTGGAGCTTGCATGTTCTCCCCACGCCTGCCTGGGTTTCCTCCGGGTGTTCTGGTTTTCCCCCGCAGTTCAAAGATGTGCAGGTTAGGTGGGTTGGCCATGCTAAATTGCCCATAGTGTCCGGGAATGTGCAGGCTAAGTGGATTAGCCATGGGAAATGCAGGGTTACAGGGATAGGGTAGGGAGGGTGGGTCTGGTTAGATGGTCTTCTGAGGGTCTGTGTGGACTTGTTGGGCGAAATGATCTGCTTCCACACTTACGCATTCTATGTTATGTCTTTTGGCTTTCTAGAAAAGGAACTCAGCTCGTCCCACACCCTAGCCTTTTCCTGGAGCCTTGCCATGACTGGATTTCCCTTCACCACATTTGAGTGGGGTTGAGTCTGGGTGAGATGCTCTTCAGAGGGTCAGTGTGGACTCGATGGGCTGAATAGTCTGCTCTTACACTGTAGGGATTCTATGAGAAATAACAGATCGCCAAGGTGGAATTGGTTCATTTGTGGCATAGCATTCATAAACAAGTACTTTCTGACACATCTAGTATGTTGCTTAAATCTAAACCTTTCTGACGAAACAGAATTCAACTGGGAAATATTTTGCCATGCTAATAGATGTCTATTTCTATACTTTGACTGAACTAACAATATTTCCCTACAAATGCTTTTCTGAGCCACATAACTTCCTTCGCTGGCAACTTGTCTCTAAATTTTTGTTACTGCCCCTTCAAATGGTAAAATGACTTAGAATGATGCAGCACAGAAGATAACCATTTGGACTGCTACGTTTGAAGGCAGATCTGCCACTATGAGATATCAAAAGATGACAGGTAGTGACTGATGACCCTTTGATTCATTCTTCCTTTCTCACATGGTTTTTTTCTTGTTTTCTAACAATTACACAACTGTCAATACAAGTTCCCTGAGGTTGGTGTACTTCCCCGCTGTGCTGTATAGTCAATAGATAGGCAGAGTTCAGTTTGGTTGCTTGCTATAATTAGGACAGTGCAGCGATTGAGAATGACAATGCCTACCCTGTTTCATATTCCATCACAATTGGCAGTAGTCTGGTATAATAGTTTTGCATTCCTCTGACAAAGTGATTGGAATACATTCAAATTAATTTCTTAATAGATTTATCATTTATTAGCACTAATTTTTGCTTCATACTATAGAATGGAATAGATTGTTAGCACCACATGACTGAAACTGAAATTAAAACAGTCTCTGAAGATCAAATTGGGGATTGAATGAAATGCCACCTTTTTGGCTATATTTCTGATTTCACCCTAAATCACTGAGTCAGGAGTATTTGCATAATGCATCTGCCACTGAAACCATACAAATTACTGGCTCAAAATTTTCAAAGATTATTCAGCTGTTGCAGCTCGCGTTGCCTGAAAGCAATTTCTACACATTCAATCTCCTTTGGGAATTGAAACGTACAAAGTGGCAGATCCACTTTCAGGTTTTTGTCAACACTGAATGTCCCTCATGTTCAGCATTACTGGGGCAAAAATGGTAGAACTGAGTTAATTCATACATTTCTCTCTTCTATCTTCTATCAGAAATGGGGAAGTGTATTAAATGCCTGCCCCCATGATCACATGAACAAGGAACAAGAGTAGGCCACTTGGTTCTTTAAGCCTGCTTCTGCCCTTCAATAAGAACAGACCCGGTTTTAACTTCAACTCTGAATTCCTGCATATCACTGAAAATCTTCCATCCATTCCAAATTATAGTTATTCCATTATAGTCCATTCCAAGTTATAGGCAAAAAGAAAGGGGCCAGTGTAGGACACAGAGGCAGAAAAGAAGATGAATTAATTTTAACTGAAAGAACTGCGGATGCTGTAAATCAGGAACAAAAACAGAAGTTGCTGGGAAAGCTCAGCAGGTCTGGCAGCATCTGAAAAATCAGAGTTAACGTTTCAAGTCCAGTGACCCTTCCTCAGAATCCCAGAAGAGGCAAAACTGGCTGTCAATTCTCTCACCTTTAGGACTAATGACCAGTACCACAACAAGTTCAATATTTGGACCAGTAGGGGATAGGGTAGGGGGCATTCATTAATGACCCTTCCATTTCTTCTTTAGAAAATAGCATATTCCTCTTCTTCTTCTAAAAGCCACAGCTGTAGAACTAACCCTTTACAATATACTTTAAAATGAGGGATACACTGACAGAGAGACTTAAGTCTCCACTAAAAGCCATTACTTACTAGTACAAGCTTAATACCAGTTTCTCCACTTTAACAGGCTGAAACACCACATCTTTTATTTAACTTCTTGCAAGTTCCTGTCACAATCTTTTCAATACTAGCCTTTATTCTATGTATTCTGTTGTGCTACAGGAAAAATGACGCACAATGCCTTTGAGGGGCGTACCAATGAAGGTACGTATCCAAGCTATCCCATGCCCTATGAGGAGCAGGTCCTGGAGTTAATGGGATGTTTTTAGCTCTTTGTATTAGAGATGCCATGGCTCAAGTATAAACCCAGCATCAGGATATAGCAAGAACTGCAGATGCTGGAGTCAGAGTTAATACAGTGTGGAGCTGGAGGAACACCACAGGTCAGACAGCATCAGAGGAGTAGGAAAGGCAATATTTTGGGTTTACACCTTCATCAGGACTTCATCAAACCCAGCATCAGGTCAGTGACTGAATGTTTGCAGTGTCATTGTGGTATCCCTGGAAGATCGAAACAGTCACAAACTTCCACTCCTCATTTCTGAATCCTTATCCAGTGTGTAATGTTCAACCATCCATAGTTTATATGGCCATTTCCTGCAGCTCTACCATAGTAACTGGTAGTGGAATAGGGAATACAAGAGGATGCTGATGAGAAGGAAAAGGATCAGAAGCACAATTTTCTCATTTTGACTTAATACATGAGGTATTGAGGATGATGACCTCGAAGAAGTCAGACTCTCAGCTTCCCCTCTACTTCATTTACCTCTGTCCCAATTTACTTGAAACCACCCCTTGAATTATTTGCTTCTTTACTTTCACATTCCAGCTTAGACATTTCACCCGATTTAGGGATCAGACAGTATTGAGGATGTTTTGGTGGAGCCCGGAGGAGCATGTTTATGCTTACACACCACACAAAAATACTGCAAACAACTAGTGGTTTGGACTTGCCACCGACTCCATGAGCTTCACCTTCACCATCCTCAACAGGACAATTGTGCGGCATCCCTGCTAGTCAATATTCTTGAGTGTCAACACCAATGAGTTGCCTTGTAATGCCTATTTGGCACCTACTGTTCTCTGGGCTGATTCAGATGAAGTCTTGGCCTCAAAACTGTGAGGGCTCTGTCACAGATACAGGAAAGGATATGTGGTTAATGGACTCCTTCAATCAGCCAAAGTCAAAATCACACCCAGTATGTCTCCTGCACATCATTCAACCCGTGCAGTGAGCATTTGGAAATTACTGAAATGAGTCAATACTGCAAAATAGAGCAAGGTCAGCAGTTCCAGTTGCTGAAGGTCATCTGTGCCAATGCAGAAACACATAATCTCCTACTGGAGTGTGATGACGCAATCAATTTCACTAAGAGTACTGAAATGAACAAGGGAAAAGTTAAGAGCAAAACAATACAGGAGAAATTCTCAGTATGTCAGTTTAAGGCAATAGGTCAACATGAATTGTTTGGCTATTCATTAGTAATAGAGTCCAACAGCACAGAAACAGGCCCTTCAGTCCAACTCGTCCATGCCAACGAGGTATCCTAAACTGAACTAGTCACATTTGCCTGCATTTGGTCCATATCCCTCCAAACCTTTCATGTACCTATCCTAATGTCTTTTAAATAGTGTAATTGTCCCCGCCTCTATCACTTCCTATGGCAGCTCATTCCATTCATGCTACACCTTCTGTGCGAAAACGTTGCCCCTTAGGTCCCTTTTAAATCTTTCCCCTCTCACCTTAAACTAAACTTAAAGATAATCCCAAGAGGTTTTATAGCTGTATTAAGAGTAAAAGGGTGGCTGGGGAGAGAATACGTCCCCTTAAAGATCAGCATGGCCGTTTATGTGTGAAGGCACAGGAGATAGGGGAGACTTTTAATGAATATTTTTCCTCACTGTTTAGTGAGGAGACAATCATGGATGCTAAGGAAATAAGGGAAACAAGTGGGGATGTTTTAGGCTGCATACACATTAACAGAAGGGATGTGTTTTCAGCCTTAAAGTGCATTAAGGTGGATAAATCTCCTGGGCAGGATCAAGTCCATCCTTGGATATTGTGGGAGGCTAGGAGAGAAATTGCAGAGGCCCTTGCAGAGATTTTAGTTTCATCTTTAGCCACTGGTGAAGATCTGGAAGACTGGAAGGTGGCTAATGTTGTTCCATTGTTTAAGAAAGGTAGCAAAGACAAGTTAGGGAACTACAGGCCAGTCAGCCTGACATCAGTGGTAGACAAATTGCTGGAGAGGATACGGAGGGACAGGATCAACCAACATTTGGATAGTCAAAGTCTGATTAGGGATAGTCAGCATGGTTTTGTGCGTGCGAAGTCATGTCTGACAAATCTTTTAGACTTTTTCAAAGAGGTAACCAAGAGAATGGATGAGGGGAGGGCAGTGGATGTTGTCTATATGGACTTTATTAAGGCCTTTGACAAGGTCCCACACAGCAGGCTAGTCATGAAAATTAGGTCGCATGGAATCCAGGGAGAGCTAGCTAATTGGATTCAAAACTAACTCGATGGTAGGAAGCAGAGGGTGATGGTTGAGGTTGTTTCTCGGACTGGAGGCCTGTGACCAGTGGTGCTGGGACCTTTGTTATTTGTTAATTACATAAATGATTTGTATGTGAATGTACAAGGCATGATTAGTAAGTTTGCGGATGATACAAAATTAGGAGGTATCATTGATAGCAAAGAAGGTTACCAAAAATTACAGAGGGATCTCGATCAGATGGTGAAATGGGCTGAGGATTGGCGAATGCAATTCAATACAGGTAAGTATGAGGTGTTGCAATTTGGAATGTCAAACCAAGATAGGACTTATACAGTAAATGGTAAGGTCCTGAGGAGTGTTGTGGAACAGAGGGACCTAGGAGTACAAGTACATAGCTCGTTGAAAGCGGCGTCACAGGTGGGCAGGGTGGTGAAGAAGGCCTTTAGTATGCTGGCTTTCATCGGATGAGGCATTGAGTATAGGCGTTGGGATGTTATGTTACAGTTGTATAAGCACTAGGAGTATTGTGCGCAGTTTTGGTCATCCTGTTATAGGAAAAACATAGTCAAACTGGAAAGTGCGCAAAGAAGATTTACGAGGCTGATGCCAGGACTAGTAGGCCTGAGTTATAGGGAGAGGTTGGCCAGGGTAGGACTTTATTCCTTGAAATGTATGTGAATGAGGGATGACTTTATTGAGGTGTATTAAATCATGAGGGGCATAGATAGGATGAATGCATATAGTCTTTTTCCCAGGGATGGGGAATTGAACACTAGATGGCATAGGTTTAAGGTGAGAAGGGATAGATTTAAGAAGGACCTGAGGGGCAACTTCTTCACACAGGGAGTGATGCATGTATGGAATGGGCTGCCAGAGAAAGTGGTTGAGACAGGTACAATAGCAACATTTAAAAAATATTTGGATAGGTACATAGATGGGAAGGGTTTAGAGGAATATGGACCAAATGCTGGCAATCAGAACTAGCTGAGTGGGTACAATGGTCAGCATGGACCAGTTTAGGCCAAAGGGCCTGTTTCCATGCTGTATTACTCTATGACTCTATGACTAATACCCCATAGTTTTGGACTCCCGCACCCTTGGGAAAAAGATCTTGGCTATTCACCATACCCATGCCCCTCACGATTTTTCGAATCTCTGTAAGGTCATCCTCAACTTCCTACGCTCCAGGGAATAAAGTCCCAGCCTATCCAACCTCTTCCCAGCAACATTCTTGTCAACTTTTTGTGCACCCTTTCTAGTTTAACAATATCCTTCCTATAACAGGGGGACCAGAATTGTATTCAATATTCCAAAAGTAGCCTCACTAATGTCTTGTACAACCACAACATGACATCTCAACTCCTACACTCAATGCTCTGACCAATGAAGGCAAGTATGTTTCTCCAATTATTTTAAGATATATAGGTTGTCATTTCACAGTAGTGAATGATCCATTGGTGCATTAGAATTAACCAAATATTCATGTTGTCACTCTTCAGAATATATATCCTTACTTACACATAACATCTATTTTAAACTTACCAGAAATAGGAAGATCGAGTGCATTGTGTATGGTGGATCTAATTGAGTACAATGTGTTTGACTGTATGTAATTTAACAGATTCTTAACATTGTAGCTCATATCAAGTCACATTGTAATAAAGTATATTTTCTTAGCTGCATTTGATTTTTCTTAAAAGCATTGCACAAAGTATGTTTAATGCTTTGTTCAACAACTCTTGCATTAATGTTACACTGGCAACATGCCCTGAACAAAAACATACTATGTTTGGTATACCCTGCTGATGGGGAATTCCTTTCCTACATGTTGAAACAACGTTCAAACAATCTTGGGTGAATCTTTTACAGGGAAAGACAGATACTGTGTCTAAAATGCATTTAGAATTATGCATACCTTCACTCCTGGCCAACCTTCTCCAGGTAAACCTCTATCTCCCTGAAGACCTTGAGGCCCTGGAGGACCCTGTACAAAAGAACATAACATTAATATTATGAGCTATGTCATAATAAAGCAATAACAACCTTTACTTGCTGCTGAATGGTAATGGAAAATGTATTAAACTTGAATTAAACTTGCAAACAACCAAACTGCCTAACACTTGTGACACACAAAATTTGGTTTTCTGAGAATAGCAGTGACTCACATATTCTTCCATTATCTCCACCAAAGACTTGCTTTGGAAAATCAAAAGATTCTCAAAAAAAAATGCATATGACTTCCTTTCCTGCTCATAACCCTGAGCTGGGGAGAACAGCTGCTGACAATGAGTCTCCCATCTTCCCCGATTCAGCAGGTGACCAAAAATAAGATTTAAACAGGAGAATGTCCTATCATCCTGAATATTCCTGTGAGGTCAGCTGGAGAGCTTCCCACAGGCAGATCTTAATACTTTCACCAGGATCTAAGGATGCTCAGGATCTTTGATTTTAATAAATGTGGAAAACACATTAACTGAGGCTGTGCTAAACTTGGAGATTACAAAATGCGCTGCCATGGTCATTAAGTGTGTTAAATGATATTAGTCATACACAAAACCATTAGTGGGTTACATTTACAATCTACAGTCTTGCTAATTGCAAATAAGATGTGCAGAAAAGATGGACTCTTCAGTGCCAGTGAAGCTTTAATTTCTGCTATATGGATGAGGCCACAATATAAAAATATGAAGGGTAGCTATTTCATTTATTCAACTTGGGTGATTTCTGTTAATCTGTCACTATTGCACTGGAACATCAGTTTCGATTTTTGTACTCAAGTTCTGGAATGAGACATGAACTCATAATCTTATGTCTCAAATGAGCCACAACTGACACACTGTAGGGTAATGTAATGTTTAAGATGCTGCAGTGAATTAAAGGGCACACAAGCAATGATGGCGAGATGGCTGTGTGAGAGGGCTAGGTACAGGGAGGGCTCCCAGGTTTATTAATGCTTCAGTAGATAGTTGACGTTGATGGAAAAAAAAAACCCAGTGGCGTATAAAGCAGGCTGTTGATCTGTTAGTATGCATTCTCTCCTTGTAAAAATTTGTCAGTGAAACAAACCTCCTCAAGTCTTCATATGTTGATGCCTGCTATATCCATCCTTTTCTTTCAAGCATTTACAAAAGGTCACACATTAGGTTTTTTAAAGTTTGTCAGTCATGCCTTCTGTGGACAGCAGTGCTTGATATTTACGACTCCACACATTTAACAGGAACAAAGCACATACACTGACATATCAGCAATACTGGTGTTCTTGCCTAAACATAACACGTCTGTACAGTCGGAAAGTAATCTGCTTCGAGGACGCTCCACCCAAGAATAGGTGAGAACAAGGGGAAAACACAAAATGGCTTCCAACTTATTTTCATCCCAATTTAATCAGCTGAAAGAAAAACAACTAGGTTCTTGTACACAAAATATTGTACACTCAGGTGGTACAGGAAAGAAGTCTACCCTATTTTTTGTTCATATCTAGTATCTTTGCAGTTTGCACCAGTTGAGAATATTTTTATCTTTTCTACTCCAATGTCTAATTTGATTCTTGGCACTGGATTCAAGTACAATTTGACACAACTTACTGGTAGTCCAGGTTCACCAATCCCAGGTGGGCCAATAGGCCCTGGTCTTCCTACAAAACCAATATTACCCTAAAGAAAGAAGAATGAATTAGGTGGAGTAAAATAGTGTATTGCATTTAAGTTTTGACAAAAAAACCCTTGCACCATTCTTAAAAGTAGAATTGCCTCTTATTGAGGTGACTGAATAGAGAATTGATCTACTTTTATTTGTAATAAATAATGCAAAAAGAAATTTGGAATTTTAAATTAATACTTTATAAAGCTTTCATTACCATGCACCATCCAAAGAACAAGCTGTCAGCACAAGTTTAAAAAAGTTCTGTTCTAATAATGTGAATAAAACTCAGTATCTATCTCTGTCTTCATGAATGGTTTAGAACAACAACGCACTCCTGTTTGGCAATATGGATATGTGGAAATTGAATTGTATTAAATGATTAAGGGAGACAACACGTCTGGCATGTAACCAAATGTTTTAACCTTAGGAATGCCTACAGGTAGATTTTACGCTTCCAGTAGAGAATAACTCCAGCTGCAACACTTGAAATGACTGTTCAAACTCTTAGTAAGATTTGAGTCATCTGGAAAAAGTCAAATTTGAATTGTTTGCTCTTAAAATGAATATCAACTATGTGTTAAAATAGCTTGAAGCAATGGCCATCTTCATTGTAGGTTTTACGTGTTTTTGTATTGAAGCTTTGGCTAGCCTCCTTTACAGTGTCTGTGTTTTCAATCTACAGCAAAATAAAGAAAAATTGAGAAGCTTCTATATTAGACAACCAGCAACTCTAAGGGAATCCTTTACTGCCCAGACAAAGAAATATTACAAATGTTTCATTTCACATATCTTGATTTTGAAAACTCACATAACATTGTACTGCAGGGCTACTCAAATGTTAAGTGTAGCTTTGTTATTGTAATTGAAGCAAAATTGTCTATTAAGGTAATACTAAAACTATGAATGAATACTAAAGGAGACGTTTTACAAATTTGTGCCTCTGGTGGTGTTCTATGTATTCAAATATCACAGGAAATCAGGTGTACAGGTCAATAGGCTTTGATGCATTTTGCATCATTCATTTTAATTAATGGAAAATCCTTTGGGGCCCACTAAACTCTCCACTAAATTCCCAATATTTACTTTTCAGGCGCTAAACACAAAACTCTTTATTGGAAACTGATGTTTGGAAAACCTACTTGCAAAGCATTCACAAGTTTAAAAACTATTACCTACCACAGATATTGCCTTCTTTATTCTCCAAATGTAGTTCAGTATTCACTTTGGCAAATGGGGTAAACACTATCACTTGGGGTTGGGGGCATGCAATCCCTTTCCGTGGGCTGAAACAGGATAATGTGGGCCTGCTCTCCCTAGACCTCTCCCAGAAGTCTCAAAATTGAGGTCAGGGCAGAAAGTGGCCCTAAGGGTCTCAACCAGAACTAGGGATGTGCCCTTGGCCACACTTGGTCTCAGTAAAACTGCAGATTGATCGGGTTGGAGGGCAACAGGAAGGCTATCTACAGGATCTTACAGTCCCTCCTACCTGCAAAACTATTGATTGGGGCCTGCATATACTTCTGCTTGCTTTAAAGAAGTTGATATTACAGTGATTAGATGCACATGTTGCAGATATTGATGGAGACTGAAATCAATGAAGGATGAGTTACAAGAGGCTGCTGGTTGATCAACATCATTTTTTCCAACTGGTAGAAAACATTAAAATGTCTCATAATATGTAAAATTTAGGATAATTTTTTCAAAAGTGTAGTTCTCTTGAGACTTACCATCTAAAGGCCACCCAGCCTGTTGTCTGTACTGGTTCCCTGAAACATGCCTTCACCACCATCTTAGCAACTTGTTTTCTCTTCAGGAGCTTGTACAATTCCTCTTTGAAAGCCCCCATCACACATTCTGCTAGTTCATTCTACTTTCAAAATTTTACCACATAAAAGAAAAATCATCTTAAATCGGTCCTTGACCCTTTCAGCAATGGGGCCAATCAGCTTATGTGCTTTGTTTTTCCCTATCTTCTCTGCCTAGATCCCTCACTGTTTTGATCATCTCCAATAAATCTCATTTCAATATTGTAATACCATGCTTGTAAACGTTTGTGCGTTCCTCCCTCTCCCTTCGTATAATGCAGTATATGGACTGAGACAGGATATTCCAGTTAAGACTGAGCCAGTTAACGTTTAGTATCACAAAAGTTCATCATATCTTTTGTACTCTATGACTCTATTTAAAAGTGTGGAGGTATAAGCATTTCTCCAGACTTAAAAAAAAGCTAAGAGTAAAAAAAGTTGATATTTCTCTCTTTTTATAAATGATTATTTCCAGTGGGGGTGCATAATGTTTATTTCAGTGGCTTGTAAAAGGTATAGTTAAAAACATATTTCTTCACCTTTGGGCCAGGAAAGCCTATTCCAGTTTCACCAGTTAGTCCAGGTGGTCCAGGAAGTCCACGTTCACCCTAACAAAACAGAATACTTGAATCATTCTCTTAAGCAAAGAAATCATGATTTATATTCATTAAGGTGGTATACTAACATGGAAAGAGGATTGGCTAACCATAGAAGACAGAGTTGGGAATAAGGGGGGCATTTTCAGCGTGTCTAAACGAGTGCTACAGGGATCAGTGCTGGGACAGAAATTATTTACTGTATATTAATGAATTGATGAGGATACTAAATATGCTATAGCCAAGTTTGCAGATGACACAAAAATAAATGCGAAGGCAAGTGGTAAGGTTGACTCAAAGAGTCTGCAGAGAGACACAGGCAAGATGAGTGGGCAAAAACCTGGTGGATGTATTAGAAGGTCGTCTCAGTAGAATGTAAACTACAACCTCTCCAAACACAATTTAAAGCAAGGAAATTTTTACTTGCAGATGCAGATTCAAATATAGCAAACACATCATCTACATAACAGAGTGCAATCTATCTGCAATCAAATTCATATTTGAAATGGAACAGTCAAATTAGCTCTCTTTCTTCGATGCCTCTATCGAGAAAGCAGCCAGTAGTTTCTCTATTACTGTTTATCCGAAGCCTACCTTCAGGGGTCAGTGTACAAGCTGGGATTCCTACAGTTCTGTGTAACATAAGATTTGCCTTATTTGTAAGAATTCCAGTGATTTAATTGTTATTTTAAAAAAAAAGACCCAATGTGCCAGGTCCTACAATCTTCATAGTGTAAGTAACTGAGTAAGTGATAATGCATTAATACCCCAATGCCATGCAATAGATCTTTTGTTGCAAACTGGCTATCCCACTAGAGCTTGATAGTCAGTCTGTTTTCCGAAAATGACATGCAGAGCTGATTCACGGATACATTCTGAGGTGTGCAGGTAAATGGGGGTGGGGGCTGTGGCGGTTGTTGGTTGGGGTTGTCAATTGGGGATTAGCAATACCCACATTAAAAAAAGTCACTCTGCATCTTAATGAAAAATTCTATCATATTATGGTCACTCTTCCCCAAGAGGTCTCACACAGCGAGACTGCCAATTATTCCTTTCTCATCACAATATATCCAATCTAAAATAACCTGTTTTTCAGTTCGTTCCTCAATGTGTTGATCTGCAAAAACCATCCCATATGCACTCCAGAAATTCCGCCTCTGTGGCATGGTTAATGATTTAATTTGCCCAATGTATGTGCAGATTAAAGTCACACATAATTATAGTTGTATTATTGCTTGTCCTAAACCATGGCACTGAGGTCAATTATAGACATTCTTTCAATAATCCAGAGAACATCAGCTAACAGTAGACCTGCAAATTAATTTGGGTTGTTTATAATCTGTGAGTTTATGAATTGAGCCCTGGGGAGTGTGCTGGGATCTTTACATTCAGATAGTGGCTCAGTTTCTACATCATTGGTGAAATAATATAATACAAAAAATGTTACATTTTCCTTCAATTCCAGGAATCTCATAGGTGGATGAAATTTGATTAATATGGATATTTTAAATGATAGTTTTGTCATGCTCAGAAATTTCCTTAGTGATTTTACACAACATTGATGAATCTGCATCGAATGAGGTGAGGAAAAGGTGTTAAAAATTGTGCTGGCAGAGTTAAGGAATTCCGAAAACTTTCTCCTGATAAATTTCAGTGTCCATTCCAGCATCCATCACCAGCAAGCTACAAAAGCCAAGCAGAGTCTGAGAAAACAGAACAGGTTGACTAAACATAATCAGACTGAAAGAATTGCCAGATTCTGTGGCGCAGTAAAGTATTTGGAAGTTTGCAAGGTCCCACTGTTGGATTCCAATGCATACATTCTGGACAAAAGTTGTAAACCATACACAGAAAAAATATTAACACAATTACGAATTATTCTTTGGTATCACAGGATATGGATTTGAATGGCAAATATAAACTTCTAAAAACTATGCAAACACTCGCTCAAGTTTTGGAATTTTTGATCAATTTTTCCTTTGTCACCAATAATTAAAAAGTGAACAAATAAAATAACCACAGTCCTGATTTGATTCTTCATTAAAATTGTAAAACAACAGTAATAAACAGGATATTCCAAAGACAATAATGAAATTATTTATCTTACTATAAATTCAGACTTTGGCAGACATCGGATGCAGTATTTTGCTGGTAACATGAATTAATCTTTACTTCTATACCTGCTTTAAAGTAACAAAATCCAAGAACAAAATTAATTACCTTCCTTCCTTGGAAACCTGCTGGTCCTTGGTCCCCAGGGGATCCAGGGTAACCCTAAAATGTAGCAAAATTAAAATATAGGGCTCAATCTTAACAAAAATCAGCTAAGTGTCAGTTGCATACAATGCATGTTAGTGCAACATATTGCAAAGCTTAGTAAGCAAGCATTTTTAACTTAGACAATAGAACAGTATGTAATAAACCATGTAAAGCAAATTGATCTTTCCATTAAAATAGATGAGGAAATGTCTTTATGAAAATGTCTTGATTGCCTGTAGATTATAATACAGCCATAAAGTTATGCACTTCAAAAGAGGTCCTTCGGCCCATCGAATCTGCACCAACAAAATGAAACCATAATCTTTCCTTAACAATCCCACTTTCCAGCACTTGGCCCACAGTCTTGAATATTTTTATATTTCAAATGGTCATCCAGGTATTTTTTAAAAGTAATGAGGCTTCCTGCCTCTACTGCTCCGCTAGGTAGCGCATCTCTGAGAATATCGCAGAACAATCAGGATTTGTTGTATTCATACTGCTCAGGTGGGGATTTTATTCATTCAATCTTGTAACTGTTTTCCTCCAGTACTGTAACATTACTGCAAGCTGTGTCTGATTATGAAAAATTTATGAGGCAGATTTTGATTTTGGCATCTAACAGTTGGGGGATTGGACCAGCTGTCTGATCACAGGAGCATAAAGTCTGAACAGTTTAAAAATAAAGATCTCCCATTTCTGGAAAGGATAAGGAAAAATATTCTCTCTCAGAGGGACGAAAATCTATGGAATTTTTTCCTCAGAGAACTGTGGAGGCAAGTTCATTGAATATTTCTAAGGTTGAGTTAAATAGATTTTTGATTGACGAGGGAATCAAAGTGTAGGGTGTAAAAAGGAAAGTGGAATTGAGACCACAATCAGACCCAGCCATTAACTTATCATCTGGCAGAGCAGGCTCGAGGGCAGAATGGCCTACTCCTAGCTTTAACTTGAATGTTCATATGAACAATTTTGATGATTGAACCTAATTTGCATCTTGTTGGTAGATTCCTAACATGTTTGCAGCTGTGATGGACAGTCCACCAGATTGGGAGTTTCATCTGGGTGCTCCGGCTTCCTCCCACACTCCAAAGATCTGCAGGTTAGGTGGATTGGCCATGCTAAATTGCTCATAGTGTCCAGAGATGTTTAGACTAGGTGGATTAGCCATGGGAAATGCAGGGTTGTAGGGGTGTGGGTCTGGGAGGGATGCCCTTTGGAGGGGTCATTATGGACTTGATAGGCTGAATGGCCTGCTTCCACACTATAGGGATTCTATAAAAGCACTGGGGTTCTTCTCAAGGAGGATAATTAAGATTAAAAAAACAGGGAAGTCATTGTCAAGTTTATATAAAATCTTGGTTGGACCAGACTTGGTTTCCTGCAATTATTAATATTACTATTATATAAAAGAAAGCACAAAAAACGTCCAAGTGGCCAATGCTAGTATTCATACTCTACACAAACTGCCTCGAACTCTATTTTATCTAATCCAATTAACATAACTTCCATACTTTCTTGCTCATTTTATATAAAAAATCAGCTTCCTTTAAAGATATCTATGCTATTTTTCTCAACTCCTTATTGTGGTCACAAATTCTGAATTTTAGCCACTGCCTAATAAAGTGGTCTTTCCTGAATTCCTTGTTAGCTTTATTCATGACTACCTTACGATTTTTGGCCCTAGTTTCAGTCTTGCCTAAAATTCATTCCCTCCACCACTGACACACAGTGACAGCAGTGTATACTACCGACAAGATGCACTGCAAAAACTCATGGCTGCTTAAACAGCTCCTTGCAACCCACTGATCTCTATCACCTAGAAGAACAAGGGGAGCAGCTACATGGGAATGGCATCATCTGCAGGTTCTGCTCCAAGCCACACACCATCCTCATCTGGAAATATAATTACTGTTCCTTCACTGACATTGGGTCAAAATCCTAGAATTCTTCACTAGTAGCATTGTGACTGTACCAACACCAATGGACTGCAGCAACTCATGAAGGCAGCTCACTATCATCTTTTCAAGGGCAATTCAGGATGGACCATAAATTCTGGCCTAGCCACTGATGCCCACATTCTGTGAATAAAAAAGAAAGTGACTGAAATTCCCCACAATGTTTGGGACTTTGTGCAGATCACCAATCCATGCAAGGCCTCAATGCATCTGTGAGAGGACCACTACATGAGGTGGCCTCCTAATTGGCCACACTGTCATCAAATTAAGGTCAGTTGGTGGAGTACGGAAGTGGGAGATTAAATAGAAGGGCCCACAGAGATGCAGATATTACCCCAATGGGAGGCGTATGCAGTGCTGGAGAAGAGGGAAACCTAATGGGCACCTTAATATGGACATGCTTAAGAATGCCTCCCTTCTAGTAGTGCAAAAGATGACACTTTGAGGGGCCACAGGTAGAGGACTGAGCCATCCGGAAGGATGCATTCGGCCACTTCTTGCCTCTCTAAGCACTGCAGCCTCCTGCAGCCATGTTACTGGGGTTTTCATTGTGAGCATGTAAATATTTAGAATAGAACCTAGGATATATTAATTTCTGTTTACCTGTACGCCTCTCAGTCCCCTTGGACCCACTGGGCCTTCTGGTCCCTGTGAAAATAGGATGAATATTGTGATTGTAGCACAGGCAGAATACCAAAATATACTCCACAGTTATTTACAAGGGAATACATTTGTTTATTAGGTGATAAAATGACATTAGAATTATCAAATAATATTCAAGCTTTTTTCAGAACATTTATGTTGTGTTGTAATCGCTTTTAAGAAACAAACTATAAACAGAAGGTTAAAAACGGATACATACCCTGTCACCTTTTGTCCCTGGAAGCCCACATTCACCTCTTTCACCCTTACAATAAAAAAAAGTTAGAATTTTAAATATTTGTTACTTAATATAGGATTATTTAACTATCCAGACCTTCCTGAATTTTTGTTTACAAACCGTTGGTCTGTCTTCTAATCAATATGAAATCACAAATAACCAGAGATTCAGAAAGCTATTAATTCCATTTCAATTCATCTATCCAAAAACATTCTAAAATTCTTCCCATCATGCCATCTAGTTGTTTCTAAAAATGATTCCAAGGTCTTTGCCTCCACTAGTCCACCTAGAAGCCCATTTGAAGCACTGATTCTTTGCTGAAAGAAGAATTTCCCAATATTAGTCGTAAGGATACTTTTTGCAAAGTTGAATTCATGTCCAATTATTCTAATCGGCACACCACGGAGTTTAAAGTAGTTCTCTGAATTTGCTATTACCTTTCCAATATCTATCCTATTTGCCATTTTCAAGATTGAAGCTCCCAGTATTATAGAATCCCTACAGCATGGAAGCAGGTCATTCAGCCCATTGAGTCCATACCTACCCTCCAAAAAGATTCCTACCCAGACCCATCCCATTACCCTACATTCCCATGGCTTATCTACCTAACCTGCATATCCCTGGACACTACGGGCAATTTAGCATGGCCAATCCACCTACCCTGCACATCTTTGGACGATGGGAGGAAATCAGAGCACCTGGAGGAAACCCACACAGACATGGGGAGAATGTGCATACTCCACACAGACAGATGGAATCGAACCTAATCCCTAGTGCTAACCACTGAGCCACATGCCTTCTTGTATCTCAGCTCTCTGATAGACCTGTGCCCATTCTCTGGATGGCCTCCAGAATGTTGTTTTTGGTTACCAGGTTTAGTAACCAAGGAATGGTTTAATCAGACAATCTCCTCTGATCACTACAGGAAGGATGTTTTCAATGACTGGGGAGTCCAGAACTAAGGGTCACAGTCTAAGGATATAGGGAAGACCATTTAGGACTGAGATAAGGAGAAATTTCTTCACCCAGAGTGGTGAGCCTGTGGAATTCTCTGCCACAGAAAGTCGCTGCTGCCAAAACATTGAATATGTTCAAGAACAAGTTAGATATAGTTCTTAGGGTGAAAAGGGGTCGAAGGTTGTGGGGAGAAAGCAGCAACAAGGTACTGAGTTAGATAGTCATCCATGACATATTGAGTGCTGGAACAGGCTCAAAGGGCCAAATGGCCAACTGTGCTCCTATTTTCTGTATTTTTATGTTTTTTATGACTGTTCATCCCATCACCTGATGCCCCCCCATACTACTTAAACTACGTCCCCACCTGACCCACCACCCTCCACCCCACCACCCCCCAGCATCCCCCCTCCGCCACCCCGGCAGGTCTCAATGAAGCCCTCAATCACCTCACTAACCCCTGACCCAAGAGCTCACCGATCAACATCACCCACTTATCTCCCATGCTTACCCAAACTCCCACCCACTCATTCACCAAAATTCAAACACTGGACATTTAAACTTACCGTGCAATAGCTTTTGCTGTAAATGGGGGCATGCCCTGCCTTCCCAAACACTGCTCTGCTTCAACTGAGTTCTGCAATTGACACTGTTCTCCACATTTCAAGGAAATCTGGGCTCAGAAGAATCCAGAAGAAATGTGCAGCATTCCTAAGTCTGGAGAAGTTTTGCAGTGACAATCCAACAATGATTGCTGCTTGTAGGAAGATTTGGGCCAAAGTGGGTAACCACTACAATACTGTCTGCTTAATTCATGTCTGATTTCATCTCCAAATTGTTGTGAGTGGAAAAAATTTGTCACTTAAAATTACTATAATAAGTATAATCCCTCTACTCGAGAAGTGAGGGGGCAGAAAACAGGTAATTGTAGGCCCTTTAGCTTATTGTCTGTCATGGGACAAGTCCTACAACTGATCACTTAGAAAAACTCTACATAATTGGAATAGCCAGCATAATTTTGCCAAAGAGAAATCATGTTTAACTAATTTATTGGAGCTTCTTGTACGAGTAACAAGCACCATGAATAAAAAGGAGCCGTTAGACCTGCTACACTTGGATTTCCAGAAGACATTGGATAAGGAGTCACTTCTAAAGGTCAGTGCTGAAAATAAAAGCTCATGGTGTATGATTGTCATATTAGCAATTCTGGCTGGCAGAAAGCAAAACAGCATGCATAAATGGACCTTTGATTAGCAGGATGTAACATGTGGAGACTGGCAGGCGTTTACCTCAATTTTTTACAATTTACATCAATGACTTGGGTGAGTGAAAGCATGGTAGTTAAATTCACAGACGACGTAAAGATAGGTAGGTGAAGACGAGATAACAAGATTCCTGATGCATACAGATAGTTTGAGTCAGTGGACAAAAATCTCACAGATGAAATATAATGTGGGAAAATCTGAAGTTGTTCACGTTGACAGGAAGAATGAAAGAATATTACTTAAGTGGAGAACTATTGTGGAACTCTGAGGTTCGTTTCTGCTACTATTTTGTATCTTCATATATTATGGTTTATTTTAAGAAGATAATTCATTGAATCTTCAGACTTCTGAAGCTCAAATTTGTTGTGACTAAACTGGTGTTATCTTGATTATGATGTACTTTGATCCTTACGCTTTTAAAATCTATTACCGCCTTATAGACCAACATTCTCAAGGAAAGGTCATTCAGTCATACAACGTACCTGTTCACCTTTGTATCCAGCTCTTCCCTATAATTGAAGATAAGGTAAAAACATCTGCAATCTAGATATTTACCAGTGAAAACATTGTTATTTTAAAAGTTAAATAAATAGCAATGATATTGAACAAAATACATAAATTCAACACTTGGGACAGCTTTGTGTCTACCCTTGTCACAGGTTTGGTGGTGGGTCATTTCATTGGGTAGGAGGGTGTAGGTGGGAACCCCCTGCCTTCCTGTCTCCAACCCAACGTGGGTCTGTGGTGGGAAACCTGGTGGCCTTCCCACCCCACCACCAACTGGTGCCCTTAGGGATAGTTAGTGCCCACTTATGAGTCTCATCTTGCCATCACTTGTATTCAACAAGAAGCGGTCAGGGGACTCACCATCTGTGAAAGTCCAAAATAGCCCTGTGGGCTCTGGAGGGATCTTTTGTTCAAAGACACTATGCCTGTTCAAGAGGCCCAGAATCAGGAAGGGGGCAGCCTGCTGCTCTTGCTGCTGACCCTCTCTCCCGCAATCTCCCACCCCATGATTCGTCTCCTGCCATCACTTGTCTGTGAGCTTTGATATTTCTGGGCCTTGAATGGATGTATATAGGCACTTTGCCCATGATGCTGACAAGAGCTGCTAACCTCTGATTGACCAGGAGCGCTCAGTGAGCAAGACCCTCACTGGAGTCCTTGATCCTCAGGAAGGTCTGCTGCTGCCCAGTTAATAAATGACATTGAATGTGTGGGCCTTCCTAAAAAGAGACAATACAGGACTTTTGACAGCTATTGACACCCAGCTGCAAGCTGAGACCATTGTCACTTACCTTCAATTCCATTTTGTTTTCCAGAATACTTCACTGTCTCAGAATGTTTGAATTTGTCACAATGATGTACAAACAATGACAATTTTAACAAAAATCATAAATTTGGTGTAATTCAAACACAAAATTGAAAAATCTGTTTCTTTGGTACTGTAAATCCAGATAAACATAATCCCACTAATTAACACCATTCAACCACAACTTTTCATAGTTATTTATGAGCATGTCTTAGAAGAGGATCCAATACAATATGATTTTGAACAAAACGAGGTGTATTATGGCTCTGATGTGTTCACTTAGATTGCAACTTTAAACAGGAAAGAAAGGAACTGACATAAAATGCAACTGGTATTTCAAGATTGAGATATGGAGATTTTTGTTAGGTATGGTTTGAAGGGATATGTACCATAAATAAAGAAATTTTGTAACTAATAGACAAACAAGTTTAGTTGAGGTGCAAATCAACCATGATCTAAAATGAATGGTGGAGTATGACGGTGTTGCAATGAGCAGCCAAAAAAAAATCTCAGGCCATTGTCTCTTAGAATGGATGAAAAGATATAGCTAACAAGGGTAAGCAAGTGTTTGGTATTGGGTTGTCTTATGTTTGATAGTTTTGGACTTATTGTAATAAAGTCCAGCAATGTCACACTTCGACATGCACTTATTAGGCATGGGATTTAGAAACTATTTGAAATTTAGAAAGATAGATAATACACCCTGCGGCTGAAAGCATGAGTCTAAAGACCAGTCGTCTGCCTGGTGCCGGAGTTAAGGACAATCTCTCAGGGCTGGATTGTATGTAATGCCATGGTCTCTAACAGCATGTTTAAATGGTCAGTAGGGAACCCACAGAAAGAACAGCTGGCATTGAGTAGGCTGGAGGCAGGATCTTCGTTCCTCAGGACCAGGAATCAATAATAGAATAAAAAGGAAACGATGGATGCATTGAACAGATATTTCACTTTGACATGTGAAAATCATTGTAGAGATTACAAATAACATCCCAGGTATCATCTGCCAGGAGGTGAAATGGACCAAGAAACTTAAAACAATTAAAATCACCAGACAAATCTTTGAGAAAATCTGCCACATCCCCAGAACCTGATAACTTTTGTTCGGATTTCAAAAGTAGTGGCTGCTAAAAACATCAGCCAGAAGCCCTGAGAGAATACTTTATTTCAGCCTTCTCCTGAGATTCCTAGATCACAGATGCCAGTCTTTAGCTAATTTAATTGGTAGTACAAGATAAAAGAACAGCTGAAGACAGTGATGCTGCAAAGGCTATGGGGCATGACAATATTCTGGCAATTGTACTTAACACTTATGCTCCTGGACATGCCACACTCTCTAGCCAAGCTGATGCAGTACAGTCACAACACTGGCACCTACCCAATAATGCATGAAATCGCGCAGGTATGTCCTGCCCACAAAAGGAATGACAAATTCAACCTGGCAATTACTAACCTATAAGTCCACTGTAAATCATCAACAATGTGATGGAAAGTTTGCCAATGGTGCTGTTAAGCAGCAACTGCAAAGGAGTAGGTTGCTCACTAACACTCAGTTTTGCTTCTGCAGGGAGACTTGGCTGCTGACCTCAGTATAAAATTAATTCAAAACCTGGAGCAAAGCAATGGACTTCTTAGGTTTGGTGACGAAGACTGCCATTGACATCAAGGCAGCATTTGACTAACTGTAGAATCAAAGAGTTCAGCAAAACTGAAGTCAATGGTAATTGGGGGAAAGCTCTCCACTGTTTAGAGTCATAGCTGGCAGATGACTATAGATCAATCATCTCAGCCCAAGGAAATCACTACAGGAGTTTTTCAGAAGTGGGGATTTTCACCAGTGATTTTACAATGTTCATCACCATTTGCAACTCCTCAGAAATTACTTTGGGGACACCCATTTGAGGGCAAATCCACATCTGACATATGGCAATCTTTCAAAAACAAAAAGGTAGCAATATGGTTTAGGAAACTGAAATCAATTAAGGCATTTGAGAAATCTAAATGAAGCAGAAGAGAACTTAAACAAGAAATTAGGGGTTTAGAAGCAGCCATGACATATCCTAGCCAAGTAGGATTAAGGAGAATCCCAATGCATTTTATATGGATTTCAGGGTCAAGAGGGCAGCTAGGGACAGGATTGGTCTACACAAGGACACAGGAGGGAACTTATGCATGGAGCCAGAGAAAATGGGTGAGGTCCTTAATAAATACTTTGCATCAGTATTCACAAAGGAGAATGACATGGATGATAGTAAGCTTAGAGAGGGGTATGTTGATATTCTGGGGCATGTCCGGTGGAATGGTGGCTCAGTGATTAGCACTGCTGCGTCACAGTGCCTGGAACCATGGTTCAATTCCAGGCTTGGGCGACCATCTGTGTGGAGTTTGCACATTCTCCCCATGTCTGCATGGGTATCCTTTGGGTGCTCCAATTTCCTCCCATGGTCCAAAGATGTACAGGTTAGGTGTTTGGCAATGCTAAATTGCCCATAGTGTCCAGGGATGTGTAGGTTAGGTGGATTAGCCATGGGAAATGCAGGGTACAAGGATAGGGGAGAGGATGGGTCTGGGTGAGATGTTCTTCAGAGAATCAGAATGGATTTGACCAGCTGAGTGGCCTGTTTCCACACTGTAGAGATTCTGTGATATTAAGAAGGTGGCGGTGTTGGGTGTCCTGAAAAACATTAAGGTAATTAAGTTCCCAGGGTACAATGGGATCTATTCCAGAATACTGAAGGAAGAAGGAAGGGGATCACTGGGACCTTGACAGAGATGTTTCCATCTTCTTTAGTCATGGTAGGGTCACAGAAGATTGGAGAACAGCCAATGTTTAAGCCTTTGTTTAAGAAGGGCAACAGGGATAATCCAGGAAACGACAGACTGGTGAGCCTTATATTAGCGAGTCAGTAAATTGTTAGAGAAGATTCTTAGGGACAGCATTTATTCAGATTTGGAGAACAGTGGTCTTATTAGGAATAGTCAGCATGGCTTTTTGGAAGGGAGGTATTGATTCACAAACTTGATTGAGTTTTTTGAGGAAATAATGAAGATGCTTGATGAGGTAGGGCAGTGGATATTGTTTATATGGATTTTACTAAGCATTGATAAGGTCCCTCATGGTAGGCTGGTCTGGAAGGTTAAGTCACATTGCATCCATGATGAGTTGGCAAGTTGCGTACAAAATTGGCTTGGTCATAGAAGACACTGGGTAGTTGTGGAAGGGTGTTTTCCTGACTGAAGGAACGTGACCACTTGTGATCCGTGAGGGAGCATGGAGTGCTGGGAGAGAAAGGTGCTGATGGTTCAGATTAAGTGAACGGCATGTGAGAATGGCAGAACAATGGTATGTCTAAGTGCCAGACTAGAAAGAACAGATAGTCTCACTGGGGTCGGGGGAGGGGAGAGAAGGTATGGTGACAGAGAATATAACAGGTAAAGCTAAAAGAAAGGGAATGAATGGGAGTGGGTTCATAATTTGAAGGTGTTTACCAGGATATTGCCTGGATTAGAGTATATTAGCTATTAGGAGAGTCTGGACAAATTTGAATTGTTTTTGCTAAAGCGTCGGAGACTGATGGGCAACCTGATAGTAGTAGATAAAATTGAGAGGCGTGGACAGGGTGGATAACTGGAGTCTTTTTCTCAGGGTGGAAGTGTCAAATACTAGGGGCTGTAGGTTTAAGGCGAGAAGGGAAAAGTTTAAAAGAGATTTGAGAGGAAAGTCTTTTTTTAAACATAGCGGGAATAGGTGACTGCAATGAGATATTAGGGGAGGTGGTAGAAACAGAGATTATAACCATGCTTAAGAGGCATTTAGACAGACATGTGAACAGGCAGGGAATAGAAGGATACAGACCACATGCAGACGCATGGGATTAGTTTACAATGGCATCATGGCCGACACAGACATGGTGAGCTGACAGGCCCATTCCAGTGAAGTAATTTCTCTGTTCTATGTTCTATGAAGCAGATTATATCCAGTGCCCGGTGAGTGGCAAGTGACATTCATGATACGCATGTGCCAGACACTGACCCTCTCAAACAATGTTCAATGACATGGCCATTGCTGAATTCCTCACAGCCTGGAGTTACCATTGAATATAAACTGAATTGGACCACCATTTAATACTATGGCTATAGTACTACTTACCTGGATGTGTGCAGCTCCCACAACACACAAGAAGCCTGACACCATGAAGTCCTTTTAATTGGCACCTAATCACAACCTTCAACATGTAATCTCTTCATCATTGATGCACAGTGACAACAGCGTGTTCCATCTGCAAGATGCACTGCAGTAACACAGCAAGCCACTTTCAAAGCACCTTCCAAATACCTGATCTCTACCACCTAGAGGACAAGGATATCAAACATATGGGAATACCTCTACCTTCAAATTCCCACCCAGATCACACCATCCTGTCTTGGAACTAGATCACCATTTCTTCATTGGCTCAATATCCTGGAATTTCTTTCCAAACAGCACTGTGAGTGCTGCTACAGCTTGCACACTGCAGTAAATCAGAAAAGCAGCTCACCACCACCTTGTCCAGGCCAATTAGTGAAGGGAATGAATGTTGGCCTAACCAGTGATGTTGACATTTGTGAATGAAAAAAAGTCCAAAATTTCCTAGATTCTGGAAAGATTCGATCAAATTGGAAAACAGTGAATGTGACTCCACTATTTAAGAAAGGAGGGAGATGGAAAGCAGGAAACTACAGGCCAGTTAGCTTAATATCTGCAATAGGGAAAATGCTGGAATCTATTATTAAGAAAGTTATAGCAGAGCATTTAGGAAATCTGGATGCAAATCAGGCAGTCAACACTGTTGTGAAATGAAATTCATTGTTCAAAGAAGAGCCCATTAGACTCAGAACATTAACTCTATTTATCTCTCTACAGATGCTGCCAGATCTGCTGGGTTTCTCTAGCCCTCTGTTTTTATTTCAGATCTCACTATTTTGCACTATTTTGTTTTATTGTTGTGATAGCATTCTATATGACAAGATTATGAATTTGCAAAATTTGCCGTATAATTAACAATACTAATTGTATTTTATTCCACATGTACTTCCAAACTTTCTTCAAGAAATAGTCGTAATACTGAGATTGAAATAAGATAAAATCTCTCTACCCTGCTGGTTGACAGCTTTACTGTGACAGTATCTTTCTCTCTCATTTTCTTCATTCAAGAAGGTTGTACAATTTCTGAAGCATCTTCTTTTGCAGCATTTGGAAAAGAAGCTAATTACAGTGGACAGGGTTCTGAGGAAGGGTCACCGGACCCGAAATGTTAACTCTGATTTTTTCTTCACAGATGCTGCAGACCTGCTGAGCTTTTCCAGAACTTCTGTTTTTGTTCTTGAAGCTAATTACAGAGTTGTTTATGTTCATTTTCACAAGCTTGACAGAATGTGTCACAGTGACAAGATTACATTTTTGAACATCGTAACTTATACCTCCATTCCGTCCCTTCCTGGGATTCCACTCAGACCTGCTTCCCCCTGTTAAATGTAATTTAAAGACATCTGTTAAAAGGTTACTACAATCATGCTATAAAGATGCAGGATAAAATGCAGGATGTCAAATTAATTCATTAGATGTAATCTACCTTTTGTCCTTTCAGTCCTGGAGCACCATCATCACCAGGGCGTCCTTTTTTCCCCTACAGATTTAACACAAATGTTAAAAAAGTAGAAAATGATCAACCTGACTAATTTTCACAATTCCATGTTCGAGTTACTTGAATGATAAATGATTACACTCATAACTATTGGGTTTGTGTGTCGCTGACTGGGCCAGCATTTATCACTCGTCCCTAGTTGCCCTTGAGAAGATGGTGGTGTGCTATCTTTTTGAACTGATTCAGTCAACGTATTGTAGGTTGATCCAAAATGCCCTGACAGAGGGAATTCCAGGATTTTGACCCAGTGACAGTGAAGGAATGTAGCCTAATGAATGGCGCATATGAAAGAACAAGACCAAGAGACATTTTACTTCATTGTTATTATTGATAAATCACAAATCCTTTACCATTGAGAAAGCTATAACACCATCCAGCAAACATGGGCTGAAGTTTACTACAGGTTTGTAGTCAGGGAGGAAGCTTGTGCAGAATGAATGTGCCAAGCCTGCACTCACTGGCAAGGGAATCAGCTGGCCACATGTTACTACAGGCAGTCTCCGATTGGCCTCCTGTCGCGCTGCTGTCTAACTCAGGATGGTGGGCAGACCCATGATGCTGTCAGCCCAAACTCTGAATACTGAACAGTACCTTGAAGAGAGAGAGAGATAGCTGCTGCTCAGGTATGCTGAATGGGAAATCCTTACAGGACAATCATTAGGGCCCTGAGGACTGCCTTCTCTGCCCCAACCCCCTCTTCATGTCTTGGAGCCTCCGGCTCTGATGGCCACCCAGGTAGATGCAGGGAGGGTGCCTCCATTAAGTGATCGCCTGCCTCCATATGTGGCCAGGAGTTACCACCCTGTTGGCAAATTGCTGGTGGGTCCATAAAATGGCCCTTAATATGGCACATAATTTGGCAATGCAGCTGCCAGTCTCCAAATAGCTGGCAACCAAATCAACACCAACAGTGGGAAAATGCCACAGCAGCCATGCTGCAACACACAACTGCCTTGAATAGCTTCCACTATTTTGCTGCAATCCTCCTCCTCAACCCACTGTGCCTGCCACTTGGAGACTGGTAATGTTCTGCTCTATATGTTAACAAAACATGTACATTTGTAAAGCAGGAAATAATACATTTTGTATACAGTTGTAATCAGCTTATAGTTGCTTTATTCTATGACTCGGAAAGTTCATTAGCTGGCAAGGGCCTGAAAACAAACTATAACAGCTTACCGCTCTATTATTAACTGATGCTTATCTCTTCTTATCTCAAAAATTTGAAATTCAACTTGCATTAACTTGGGTAGGAAATGTTAAGCAAATCTGGGTCTTATTTTTATGTTGGCTGGTGGGGTAAAAGAACCACAGTCATTCACAACAGTGTCTGGTGGGACCCTACAATATACATCAGTTCATTACTCTGGTGTGACGTGTTTCTCTATGAACACTATTGAAGTTCTCAAGCTGAAGTAGTAATTAATGAGAAAATAATTGAGAAACACCTGGGCTAAGTTGTAAATATAGTTTTACAACAGTTGATAGTTTTTTTTCTGACCATTAAACAGATGACATTCTAATTGTATGACTTCAAAATATGTGAGACAGAATTTCAGGAATCTCACTTTTGAACACCTGTTTCATAGCATTGCAGCTGCCTAGTCCCACAAACACCAGTTAATGTGATACCGTTGAATGATTTCTAACAGTATCATTGGAATTTACAACTGAAAGCAAATTCAAGTCTCAACTTGAGTCCTACGTATTTACCGCCGGGAAGCAGCTCTCACACAGATTATTAAAATAAATTTTAAACTGGGTGAAGTGGCACTTGCCTATTATTAGGTTATTGAAACAGGTTAGAGAAAGTTTCCCAGCATTACATTTACACCACTTCTTAGCTAAAATTTGTGAACAGTGGTAATTTATATTTTTATTGTGTTAAAATAATGCACACAGGTAAAAAGGGTAAAGTTGCCATAGTCTTACCAGACCGTAGGCTGGTCTCTCAGATACAAAGAGAAACGACTAGTGGTGGTTTAACCCAAGGGTCACCACACCTCAGGCTAGGAGAGTGTTTGAGAAGGACAATCCTTCATGGTAACTTCAGCTGGTGTAGGAATTAAACCCACACTGTCGGCATTGTAATGCATCACAAACCAACAGTCCAGCTAACTGCCCCTCTACAATCAGGAATATCACTATCAACAGAAAATATTTATGGCATCTTTTGATTTTCCTAGGTTGCTGAAGGAAGGAAAGGGTAGAAATTACAGAAATGCTGACGATAATTTTAAAATTTTTCTCAGATACAGGGGAAGTCCCAAAGTATTAAATGACAGCGGACTGAACAAGAATGTCACTGAGCTGTTTAAAGAAAGGGGAGAAATATGAACCTGGGATTTACAAGTTATGCTTTTAAAGTCAGTTGTAGGGAAGCTGTTCAGAACAATGGTATGGGAGAAAATTAATAGTAACTTAGAAAAACATTGCTTAATAAGGTACAGTGATCATGATCGGTTAAGGGAAAGTCATATTTTACAAATCTGATTTTTTTGATGAGGTGACAGAATGGATGGTTGAACAAAATTGATGCTTTCAAAGGGTATAAACATCCCACGTACTAGACTTGTTAGCAAAAGTGAGGTCCATGAGATAAAAGGAGAATAATCAAAGAAAAATTAAAAATAACAAAGATATATAGCATCACAAGCAGTGCTGATGGAAATATAAATTATAAAGTGATATTTATCGTGCAGGGCAAAAATATGGCAAATGGATTTCAATGTAGAAACCTGTAACATCATCCACTTTGAGCCTGAAATGAACAGAAAACGTACTTTTAAAATGGTGGAAATCTAGAAATAGCGGAAGTCTAAAGATTCTTAGGGGAGCAGATAAGTAATTATTAAAATGTTATGAACAGACACAGAAACAATTAAAAAGGTTAATGGAATGTTAGTCATTATATCTAGAGGACTAGAGTTCAGTGAGTGTGGTTATGTGAAGCACTACCTAGACCACACTATGGTATTGTGTGCAGATCTTGGCACCACATCTTAGGAAGGATGTATTGGCCTTACAAGAAGTACAGCATTTATTTATCAGAATGACACTTGGTCTCCAATGGTTAAATTAGAAGGTGTGATTACATGAACTAGAGTTGTATTCCCTGGAATTTTAAAGGTTAAGCATGATTTGGTCAATAACTGAAGATTCTAAGGGGGAATAGACAGGTTAGATTGAGAGAAATTATTCCTGATGGGAGGGGCATTCATGACTAAGACCAAAAATTAGAGCCAGGCTTTTCAGGAGTGAAGTTAGGAATTATTTCCATAGACAAAAATTTGGAACACACTTCTGCAAACAGCTATTGATATGAGATTAACTGTTCATTTCAAATCTAAATTTGATAGATTAGTGTTAACCAAAGGTATTAAGAGGTATTTCAAAACAACAACTATATAGAATTAATTTGCAGATGAGACACAATCTCATCAAATAGTAAAACGAGTTCAAGGGGCTAGACATCCTAGTTCCTGTATTACAGCAGGAGTCCAAAATTTGGATAAGAGATGGTGAATGGCTGTTTTTTAGGTCTGGAATGAATATACACAGTGCAATTTCCAAGGTTTGGTATCAGGATTGCTGTGTGTTTTGCTAACATTGATGATGTAGTCTCAGGAGGTGCGGGGTACAATTCTAATATGTGAAGATGTCATGGATCTTGTAAGCACAGTAAACAGTCCAGGATGTAACAAGACTTCAAGTTAGGCTGGTGAAATGGATCGACATGATAAATGAAATTTAATACAGGAATATACGAGGAGTTATGTATTGTTAACAGTAACATTGAGAGGCAATACAAGCTAAATTGTATATTTTAAATCAACAGTAGAAAGAAAAGAGAGTAATGTGGGGATGTTTGTGCATGAATCTCTGAAAAGGGACAGCAGTTGATATAGAGTATGGATTCTGCACTTACAAAAAGACGCATAAATGGAAATCTTAACCTGAGAGAAAGGTTTAGGTTTGGGGCAAGTGGAAGTATAAAGTGTTAAAAATCTGAATCTCAACACCAATTTGCCTTCAACTTGCTCATTTCTAGTTTTAGCAGAATGTGTTTGGGTAGCAACCTGTCAACCAGCTCCCAGGTTGCAGACTGCAAACTTGAATATAAAGAGGCTGAATGCTTCATATTTATCTATTGTTTCGAACACAGTTGTGGTCTGAGGATGAGATAGTAGGAACTGCCGATGCTGGAGAATCTGAGATAACAAGGTGTAGAGCTGGATGAATACAGCAGGCCAAGCAGCATCAGAGGAGCAGGAAAGCTGACGTTTCGGGTTTTCTTTCAGAAAAAGAAGGGTCTCGACCCGAAACGTCAGCTTTCCTGCTCCTCTGATGCTGCTTGGCCTGCTATGTTCATCCAGCTCAACACCTTGTTATCTGTGGTCTGAGGATACCTGGCAGCCACAGAAATTTGAAAACTAAGGATTCAGGAGGGAAGTGCCTCATAAAGCCCCTTAAATTGGACATAGCCTCACCAACACCAATGTCTCCAAACTGTTCTTCTGCCTCCAACAGTGATAAGATGTTGAATTTATTGGCATCCTTCAGAATGGAGTTGGGTAATTATTGAAGAAAACATAGCTGCATGGATATGAAGCCAAAGCAGGAGAAGTGGGGGAGGTGATTGATTAGATTGTTCTTTGCAAGAGCTGGTGCAGATCTGATGGACCAAATGGCCTCCTTCTGTGCTGTACCATTCCAACATTCTATAAAGCACCATCAGAGCTCGAGGCATTCTGCTATTCCTGCAGGGTACAATGTGATCTCTCACAGGCTGGTACAATGCACAAAACTATTGGTGATAGACCTGTGATTATTCATTTGGTAAATTCCATAGGTCAGTCTGGCTATCTTTTGGAGGAAGGAAAAGATGGAGCTGAGGGGATACAAATGACCTTCTCTTAATAATCCTCACAATTGTGGCTGTGCTAACTGAGTGACGAACTGACCTTTTATGTCATGACTATAATCTAATGATTCAAAGGTGAACACGATTTAATCATGGCCCTAAAGTATCAGAACGATTCTCTATGTTGCCCCAAAAACACAATGGTATGCACTGCCCCTATGGAAGAATGCAAACACATTTGGAAGAAATTTCCTTTTAAGATGGCAAGGAACAAGTGGTGGAAATATTCACCCAGACAAAAACAAACTATAAAAACAAATTATGAAAATGTAATATTGGGGAATACATAGGAATAAATATAACAGGTGATGTCATAACATCAGAAGTCCAATGTTAAAGCCATTTTTTAAACTGCCTTCACTCACATGCTTTCCTGCAAAGAAATTGAAAATATTTTCTGTATGAATAGGTTTCACACTATCAAGCTATATTTGATCATGCATCATCCCACCACGTACAGCATCTCATGATCAATACCTTCTTGCTATCAATGCCTCAAGTGCTATCAACCCTATAAAGAACCTCAGATTGAGCGAGCAAAGATAGTAAATAGTATTCAGAACAACATAACTTACAGAAGAACCTGGTGGACCTCTTTCTCCTTTTTCACAGATACATTTTGGTATTTTGGGACACTAAAATAAATGAAAAAAGTTGAAAACATGTATGTTATATTTGTATCACAGCTATTTCAACAGACTGATGAATGTCTGGGTTCCCAGCCATTGAGCTCAAAGGAAAATGTCACTTGCCTGATAGCTCTTACATTTCGATCTATTTTGTCAATTGCACAAGCTTATTTACACAGGATAAACAGGTGTCAAGTGTTTGTTGTTTCTGACATTGATGTTTTAAAGGTCTGGAATTACTGATGTCTTTTTCATACTTATCTATACCTTCCATTTATACTAAATGGCTAATTGGTTCTGTCCAGATGGGCATGGAAGTACCATATTTTGGCATGGAGGGCATAAGTGGCACAGTTTAGCATGATGATAATGAGGGGCACGTGGGGGTGGGTGAATGGCATAGAGGGGCATGAGTAGAGTGTGGGGGCTATGGGCTAGATGCCTAACATTTAATTAAAACAGCTGGGGCAAAGTTCCCTACACACTATTTCTGATGTGGCTCACCTCGATTTAGCACCTGCCTCCAAACACCAGTACAAACAAGTTGCTACCTTTGCAGGCATTTTCTTCCAAGACGAGTAATTCCTTGACTCCCACTACCTGCTGCTAGGATGAAAATCTAGCCCCATAAAAAGGTTTGAGTGGGAAAAGTCCTTTCAAAACGAAAGATGACCATAACAAGTGTGAACAAGGTTTGGGGTCTTAATCAGTACGTTTCAGTCACCATGATAAGAGACATATTTAAAGATTTGGAAATCTGAAGTAATATGGAAAAGTACGAGAGGTGGAATTTGATTTGGGCATTTACATGGACATCAATACCAAACAAGTATTTGAGGTGATGGCAACAAAAAGAACTAGAAGTCATAGTTAAATTGAGAAAATAAGATTGGTTAGTAAACATTTTTTTGTTGATCAAACATAGAACAGGAAGTGACAGTGAGTTTTGATTTCTTACATTCTTTCAATAAAGAGATTAGACACAGTTTTGGAGAACTACAGGATCATTGGAACAAAGTAAGATTTCAGACAATGACGAAGAGTTGTGGCTCACCTTGCTTACCCAGATTGCTTTTGAGAAGTCAGAAAAAGTCTTTGATGGGGTGTGGGTGTAAGGAAGGTGGAACTGATAAGATAACATTCTATACGAGGTGGAATTAGTCTTGTGGCCACTTCTCATCTGGAGAAAATCTGCCATGCTACGAACAAGTTCATTCTACAGCCCTATCTCAATTATTTGAAAACTTGCTAATAATTCAATCATTAAAATTTCATATACCCACAACGTTATACGTCATAAGATTTTTCCATGGCAGCTATAAAATTTATACGTTAGTTTGAGAAACAAAACATACTTACCCCTTCATCAGCCAATTCTGCCTGCAAAGATAAATCACTAAAATTAGTTTCCTTAAATGCAACTATAATATAAATCACCACCAATGGATCCCACACTCACGAGACATAATTCTGCTTGAGTGGAAACTTGAGGGGCATTGCTGTGCGGTTTTATGCCTGCATTCATGAATTTGTGTTCAAGACAGACTGCTTGACAATAAAGCGAGGTTGAGAATTGTCTTCAGGTACGGACTTCTTCATAACACTGTTTATTACATGTTAAGAATAAATATGACAATACATGATATTCTGCAATGTCCCAGATTTTAATACGACTGTTACCTTATTGAAAGACTATTCCATGAATTCTACTGCCTAATGCTAATCACTATCTCACATGCTTCTCTTTCTCTCCCCTTAACTCCCCCTGCACTGTGCTGTTTATGTCTAGTGAGGTGTAGCTCTGTGACATCATTGCAAGATTGTTGCAGAATTCTAAAACCTTTGCACAACAGGGAACACAGGTCAAAAAATCAAGGCTACAGTACCTCTGCTGAGAGTGCAAGATTGGGAAATTACATTTGCTGTTTTATTATTTTTTTCTGTATTGTCCTGAGTAATGCATTTAATTGAATAATTGAAAGCAGAGTGGCAAACAGGTACTGTTTGTGGACAGTGAAGCCAATACACAGTTCCATAAAGTGTGACGCTGCAGGTTTAATTCATTAACGTTGCTTCATTTTCAGTATAGCTGTAGCCTGAGAGCAGCTTATCTAAACAAACCTACAAAAAGACATTGGAAAAAAAAATGCTTGCCTTCAATTTGGTGCAGTTAGGGACATTTTTGACTTTGGGAGAAGTGTAAAACAGGAAATATCAATTCAAAAGCCCTTTATACAGTTTTCCCAATTTCCATTTTATTTCTAACAGAAAGTAAGAGGTGCTTGTCAGCATTATGTTCATTTTTTTCTGATAATCCTGTGTAATTTGAACAGCAAGAGAATGTTTTTTGAAGAGTGGTAGATGCTTACAAGTAAAGTTGCAGCAAATACTATACAATATATTTGCTTAAAAGATATATATAAGAATCAAGTATGAAAAACTTTTTCTAAAATGTAACCATTTTCCAGCAATATTCCTGTGAAGTCACAAGCAGTGCAAACACCATGTGTGTTGTACACAATAGTCCAAGTGAGGTCTCACCAAGGCCCTATATAATTGAGAAGACATCTTTCCTCTTAAAAAGCAAAATATTGTGGATGTTGGACGTTCTCCTTGTTCATCCACTCTGCAGACTTTATCCTCATGCACATAGGTTGCAAGAGCCTCTCATCAATGAGATGTATATTGCTCTTAGACAAGAGAACCAAACTGTTCACAATACTCCCATTGTACACCAAAAGTCCATACAACTGCAGCAAAATATCTTTACTCTTGTACTCAAATCACCTTATGATGTGGACCAATGTATAATCTTCCCTCATAAATGCTTGCTGCAATTTAAAGCTCATGTGCAAAGGCTCATGAACAAGGAAAACCCCATTCCTTTGGACACCTGCACTTCTCAACCTCTCAGAGTCATGGAGTCATAGAGGTGTACAGCATGGAAACAGACCCTTCGGTCCAACTTGTCCATGTCTAGGCTCATTTGCCAGCAATATGGCCCATACCCCTCTAAATCCTTCCTATTCATATACCCATCCAGATGCCTTTTAAATGTTGTAATTGTACCAGCTTCCACCACTTCATCTGTCAGCTCAGTCCATACACGCACCACTGTCTGAGTGAAAAATTTGCCTCTTAGGTCCTTTTAAATCTTTCCCCTCTCACTTTAAAACTATGCCCTCTAGCTTTGGACTCCACTATCCCAGGGAAAAGTTTTTGTTTACTTACCCTATCCATACCCCTCAGCCTCCGACACTCCAGGGAAAATAGCCCCGCCTATTCAGCCTCTCCCTATAGCTCAAACCCTCCAGCCCTGGCAACATTCTTGTATATCTTTTCCTAACCTCTTCAAATTTCACAACATCCTTCCTACAGTAGGGAAACCAGAATTGCATGCAGCATTCCATAAGTGGCCTAACAAATGTCCTGTACAGTTGCAACATGACTTCCCAACTCCTATACTCAATGCACTGACCAATGAAGGGAAGCATACCCAACAACTTCTTCACTATCCTATCTACTTATGACTCCACTTTCAACGAACCTGTACTCCAAGGTCTCTTTGTTCAGCAACACTCCCCAAGACTTTACCATTAAGTGTATAAATCCTGCCCTGATTTGCCTTTCCAAAGTGCTGCACCTCACATTTATCTAAATTAAAATCCATCTCTGATCAAGGTCCCGTTGTACTCTAAGGTAGCCTTCTTCGCAGTCCACTACTAACTTTCCCTCCTATGTTCGCATCCAAATCATTTATATAAATGACGAACAACAGTGAACCCAGCAATATTCTGCCTTTATGTCCTTTCTACTAAAGTGTATAACTTCATATTTATTCACATTATATTTCTTCTGTTACGTTCTAATCCATTCACTTAGCCCAAAGCCCACTTGAAGACTACTTGCATCCTTCTCATAATCTACTTTCTCAACTAGTCTGCTGCAATCAGAAAATTCAAAAATATTATAATTGGCCTTCACATCCAAATAATTTGCATAAATTGTGAACAGTTGTGAACCAAGCACTGATCCTTGCAGTTTCCCTCTAATAAAACCCTGCTACGCTGAGAATAACCTGTCTAATCCTATTCTCTGCTTTCAGTCTGTTAATCAATTCTCAACCCTTTCTAATATATTTACCCCAGTTTCATGTGCTCTAATTGTATTTACTAACCTCTTTTGTGGGACATTATCAAAAACTTTCTGAAAATCCAAATGTATCACATCCATGTGTTCTCCTTTAACAAAACAGTTAGTAACATCATCAAAAAACTCCAGTAAGTATGTTAAACATAAAACAGAAACTCAGCAGGTCTGGCTGCATCTGTGGAAAGAAAGCAGCATCAATGTTTTGGATCCTTTCCTGAATCCTTCATCATTCTAATTAAGGGTCACTGGACCCAAAACCTTAACTCTGTTTTCTCTCCACAGATGCAGCCAGACCTACTGAGTTTCTCCAACACTTTCTGCTCCAGATTTCCAGCATCTGCAGTTCTTGGTTTTATGTCAAACATGATTTCCCTTTCATAAATCCATGCTGACTGGCTAAATTTTATTAATTCTTTTCTCAATGTCTGGTTATCACAGCCCTTATAATAGGTTCTTACATTTTCCCTACCACAGAGGTCAATCTAATAGGTCTGTAGTTCTCCACTCTCCTCCTTCCACCTTCTTAAATAGGTAAGATATGTTACTTTTCAGTCTGTGAGAATGTTTCCAGAATCTATAGAATTGTGAGAGTTAATCACCAATGCATTAACTGTCTCTCTGGTCACTTTCTTTGACACTCTTAGGGTGAAGCTCATTTGGCCTAGGAAATTTATTAAACTTTAATCCAGTTAACTTTTCAAGTACTCTTTACTAATAATAGTTTATTTTAGATTCTCTGTTAACAAGTCCTTTGGCTGTATCATCGAGATTTGCTGTATCTTCTTTCATGAAGACAGATGCAAAGTTACTGTAACTACCCTTTTCCTGTTCTCTACTATGAATTCTCCTGTCCTCACATTTTGTTGCTCATCTTTTCATTTTCATTTATCTAAGGGAGCTTTTCTGGTCTATCTTTATGTTTCTCACTAGTTTGCATTCATGTTTTCTTTTCCCTTTCTTGGTCTTCCTATGTTGGATTCTAAAATGCTCCCATTCCTCAGGAAGTCTGTCCATAGTGTTCAAGTGTTTGTATGTATTTTAATGTCAGCAATCACATCACATATGTGACACTCCCACCCAGATGCTGAGCAATTGGTCTCCTTGATGAACACACATCTGGCAAAGTGACTGAACAATCCATCAATGTAACTAGACATGTGAATCGGTGGTGCTTTTACATCACCAGTTTGGATGCATAATGGTTTCCTTTCATATCAGCTGATACATCTTGTGAAGCTTTAAGACACTGACAGGGCCTTGTGTACGGTCAGTGTATATTAAAAATCTTTGCATGACAACACTGGGTGCATGAGAAGTCTAACAATATGATTGTGCATTTGATTGAAGAAATGAGTGACAGTTTATGCATTTCCAGAAGAGTGAGGGTTTGTTCCTCTAGGTATGAAAGTGTGGGTATGCATGTTGTGAATATGTGCTGGTGTCTAAACAAGTGAGGAGGAGAATTCATTTCAATAGGTGTGTATTGATAATGTGTGAATATGTAGGTGTAAAGGCATGGGTATTGTGGTGTGTTCTTGTGTGGGGTGTACATACTTATCTGAATAGGAATTATGAAAGTTTGCATTAAAGCAGAGAAATGAATATGTGGAACTATCTTATGCATAGGAATCTGTGGATATGCAAGTGTATTTAAGTGGTTCCTGTGAGGACGTACACATGCCGATGTAAAAACATGTATGTATCAGGGTCTGATCCTCTGTGTGCTGATCTGGAGGTGTGACTGTTTGTTGCTGTGAATGTATTTTGTTTTGTGAATGTATGTTCATGTGAATGTGAATATGTTGGTGTCTGAGTGTGTGCTGGCATATACTTTGCCACTTACCACCTCCAGGAGGAGTTTGCCCAGGGCACTGCTGTCTTGGAGGTTGTGAACAAAGCGGGAAGCAGGCGGACTGGCTAGAAGGCGCAGTTTAGCTGCATTGGGTGGCTCGTTGGCCACGGGTGACATGCCGACTGTGAAGAACTTGATGCCTTGGTTCTTGGCCTCAGTCGTAGCCGCGTAGATATCTGGGTTTCTTGGGTGGTCCACACCATCGGTCATGAGCACTGCTACCCGGACACTGCCAGGGACTGCCTCATTCAGGTAGAGCTGTGTCAGGTTGGTGATGGCATACGTGGTGTAGGTGCCATGCCCAATGTAGCCAATCGGAGCAACACGAGTCCTGAAGACTGCCGGGCCACTCCAGTCACGGAAGGTTTGCTCAATGAGCACCGTGCTGCTGTACTGCAGGAGTGCCACTCTGGGCACCAGCTGGCGACCACTCGACACTCTCAGCTGCTGCAGCCTATCCACAAAATCCAGCACAAAGCTCTTCTCCCGGTTGTGGTTGAAGTCCTTAGCACTTTCCGAACTGTCCAACAGGAAGGCAATCTCCAAATTGCAATCCTCCTCTGAAAAGTGAGAAAGAGAGATTGACTTTTGGCACCGTTACGTTGTTCTATGACTTGTTCAATTGCAAATTTGGAGTAAAGGGAAAGAAGAACAATCTAATTCTTCAATAATTTCATTTGATTTAATTTTGCATTTCCTCCACAAAAAGATGAGCAGCTTGTGAGTGCAAGTTGATAGGTTTAAAGAGATGTGCAACAGAGGCAAGAGAAAAAAAACATTTTACATAGTGAGTGGCTAAGATGTGGAATGCACTGCCTGGAAGTGTGGTGGGTGCAGGTTAATTGATGCATTCAGGAGGGAATTGGATGGTTATTTGGATAGAAATAGTGTGCAAGGGTATGGGGGAAAAACAGGAGACTGACATTTGGTAATGATACTCATTTAAAGAGCTGGTGCAGGCATGAGGGACCAAATGGCCTCCTTCTGCCCCATAACAATTCTGTGATTCTGTGAAATTTTACACATTGTAAGTTGTTTCATTTTTAAGTGGCTTTGATAATGAGGTCAATGTGTGTGCTTATTCTTCAGGTTTCAAATTCGAGGTGAGTTGTATAAGGCTGGATGAGCTCGGGTCATTTTCAGTGGAACAGAGAAGGTTGAGGTGGAACCTGTTTGAGGTGTATAAGATTATGAGGGGCACAGCAGGATGAGTAGAAAGCTGCTGTCCTCCTTAGTTAAAGGTTCAAGAACAAGGGCACACTTATAAAGTGAAAGGCAGGAGGTTTAGAGGGGACTTGACGAATTTTTTTCACCCAGGGAGTGGAGAAGGTATGGAATGGACTGTGAGGACAGTTGAGGCAGGTAACCTCACAACCTTTAAAAAGTACTCGATGTACACTTGAAGGGTCATAACATTCAAGGCTATGGCCCAGTGTGGTAAAATAGGACTAGTGTAGGTAGTAGTGTAGTTTTTGGCGTTACAGACTCGATGGGCAGAAGGGCCTCTTCTATACTTTATGATTCTGTGATTCTCAATGGCGTTCTCCTAGACTCTATGCATAGTTCAACTTAAAGCACATGTCCCGAATAAAAAAAGGCAATAAAAACTACTGAAAGCAAACAGTGGAGAAAATGTCAAACAAACAAGTAAGTTAAATAAAAGTTTGAGATCACCTTGTTCATTTTCTCCTGGTGCATTCGATGAGAGATACTTAATTTTTTGTCTTCTAACCAAATGTCCGTCCCCACGTTCCTCATAGTCTTGCGATAAAACGAGCTGGTATCTTGTCCACAGCAGAAGCCCCCAGAATTGGAAGAAAGCTTTCATTCTCCCTATAAGAATCATACATCTGCATTGAAAAGAGAGTTTACACAAATTTATCACGTTCACGAACACGATACATAAATGATATAGTTATATCGCAAACCATGGTTTGCCCAGTTCAATGAACAGATGAAGCACAACCTGATTAATCGAAAGTAGGTTCTAACTGTTCTATTTTTCGTACCGTTGGGGATGAAGTTAACTTTAGAAATCGCGCAGAAAAAACCCGCCGTCAAAATTACAAGATATTGAAACCCCGCAATTAAAACAGAAGTGTTGTAGGCTGCAATCACTTTTTGTTTAACAAATGTTAGAATTATTGTAAATCAGAGGAGGTGGGACATTGAACTTTTTAACATTTACCTGCAGGAAAGTTCTCAACTGCCTTTTCCCGGAGTAGAGAACTAAAAAGAAAACAAGCACTAGCGAAGAACTCTGGTCGAGTGTCAATTCATTCCCTGGTGAGTTGATTTAAATGGAGAAGTTAAACTTCTCCTGCCTTATAAATAAAGGAGGGACTGCCCAGGTTACTACTGGAATGTGGATGGCAATTGGCTGCTACATGGAGCTGCAGCTTAATGTGAAAATAAGCGAAAAAGCGGAGGAAGAGAGAGAGAGAAAATCAGGTACTACGAAATGGAATTGCAACGATTATTCACTTAACGAAGAAGAATGGCAGCGGATGGTGAACTTGCGCAACACAGCGTATGGTTCGAATTGTATTGACAACTAAAGAGTGAAGTTAGAATGCGACATTACAACCAGAGTAATATTAAGGTTGTTAAATAGCTCCAGTTTATCATTCAAACGTATTTTGTTGGCTATATTTTTCCACATCCTGAGGTCATGACAGGATCTGTGTAAGTTATTTCAATGTAGGAGTAATGGTTGATAACACCAGATACTGAGAAATTGAATGCGAATATTAATATTAGCAAAAAAAAACACATGGCCCAAATTAGATCATTCATCCAAAAGAACCTAAATTTTCCTTAATTTAAATTATAGCATTCACTTGTTGCTTAAATAATTGCAAGGTGTATTGCCTCCAAACTTCTCCCCAGAAATCCATTCTATATGTTAGTCACATTTGGTATGAAACTATGCTTAGCAGGAGGAAACAGCATAAAATAATGAAATGGTTACAGCAGAATAGAAACCCATTCAGCCCAGGTGTCAATGCTATCTTTATGCAAGAACAACTCCCCTTTTAGCCCACACCCTGGTCTTTTCCCCTGTGGCCCTGCATTTTTTTCTCCTCAAGTATTTAACAAATTCCCCTTTTGGAGGCTTGAATTCAATTCACATCCACCGAACTCTCAGGCAGTGCATTCCAGATTCTAAACGGTAATTGCTGGAAAAACTCCATTCTGAAGAAGGGTCACTGGACACAAAACTCCACTTTCTCTCCACAGATACTGCCAGATTTGCTGAGTCTTTCCAATAATTTCTGTTTTTATTTCTGATTTCCAGCATCCACAATTTTTTTTTCCATTTAGCATTCCAGATTTTAAACACTTGCTGCATAAAAAAGCCTTTCCATCAATTGATGTTGTTTAAATTGCCAGTTGTCTTCATCAATGTGTTTTTTTCATTGTTCTTCCAACAGGAACACTTCTTACCCACTCTGTTCAGATCCCATATGATTTTGGAAACTTCTGTCAAAACTCTTTTTCGTTCAGCTTTGTTCAAGGAGAACAGTCGCAGCTTCTCCAATATATCCACATGACTGAAGTTCTTCATCCCTGGAACTATTCTCATCTATCCATCATGCACTGTCTCTAATTCTTAACGCTTTTTCAAATGTCCTGTCCAAAGAACTACTCACTTGTGTGGAATCTTATAGGTGTCTGAGTAATAAGGGCCATGGCGAGATTTCTGGCAGAATCAAACAAGAAGTCAGGCAAATCTTGTCTCAACTTCAGGTGCATCTTACTGCAGCTTTTCCGCTTATGCCAAGCGGCAGGCAAATTTCCATGCTAGGCAGCGGTGAGTTGCCAATTATAGAGGATTATGACTTGTTAAGTGTTTTATTACCACCATGATTCACTTTGTTAACTTTCCACCTTATCAAACATGGTGAACAAGATAAATGTTGAGAACTGTTGACGCGGAGATCAGAGTGGGTACCTGACAACTTCAGCTCACCACTGGCTATGAGGGTTCTCCATGCCACTCAGCACCAAACAGCATCTTAGGGCATGATCCATGTGCACCAGCATACACCCCTCCTCAATGAACATTGGCATCTGACATTTTCTAATTCCTCACTACCATCATGACACTTGTCTGATCCATTTGCAAGGCATTCAGAAAACGCAATCGTACAATAAAGCGCCCACCATTAACCAATATTGATAGACTGCAGCAGGGACACAGTGTGCAGGGACGGCTCATGGATTGGACTAGCTCCATCTCAGGGCTGCTTGGTTGCTCACTTGCCACCTACTTGCATGCTTGTACCATTCATGCCTTGCACTGTCTTGTTATCCCAAGTCATGTCTGTTAGTGCAGGCACGTCAGCCAGGGCCAAAGACTTTCACTACTGCTGTATTTAGATGTTCTTTTGTGCAGACAAACAGACAGACTGCTTGTGTTGATTGCCTGTAAAGGGGAGGATGAGGGATATCTTTTTATATAGTAAACCAAATAATCTAACACGTACAACCATGTGCCAACTGCCTGCGTGGCAAACATTCTGCACATTTATTCAACCAAATGGCCATGTAGGAAACTGTATGGGGTCTAGTCCACAGTCCAAGATGGGTGGAGGTTTAGTTTGGAGAAGTTCAGTGTAGTGGGGCTCCACATGGAAGATTTAGGTGGAAATGGGCTGTCAATAAGAGGCTCATCAAAAATATGTGCAACTTAGTTAAACAGAATTGTCCCATAATACATCCATGCTGGCCTTCATTAATTAATTGATTGATAAAAGTGACTGTTAATTTTGTCATGAATTATCATTTCTAAAATTTCCCACCATTGAGGTTAAATTGTATGGCCCACAGTTGCTGGAATTATCCTTGTAACATTTTTGAACAAGAATTTGCAATTCTCCAGAAACAGGTGAGGTCAGCTCATGGATAGTAGGAACTGCAGATGCTGGAGAATCTGAG